AAGTAAAGGCATAACAGAAATGCACAAATATTTTACACTGACCATGTTAGTCAGTCAGGATGAAAATCTGAATTTTTCATCCTTGCAACACGTCTGAATTTCTTGGCATCAAGCATGGCTGCAGCTCTTCTTCTGTTCACCCAGAAGACCAATGTGCCTGTCCCCAAGCACAACGCCACAACGGGGCTATAGGGGGCGCTATAGCCCCATCACAAATCTGCCTAGCCACGGTTAAGCCCCCTCCAATATTGTCTGATTTTATTGAAAAAAAAGAGAGAGAGAGAACTAAGAATGAGTCAAGCTCCCCCTCAGCACGGGGAGAAATCCTGGCGTTGTCCCTGCCTGCCCCGTGAAACTCAAGGTCAATTTGACATTTTATTTACGCTAAGACAAACAATTCTTTACGGGACAGATGTTGTGGTATTGAAAGTATTCTTTCTGACATTTTTTAATCCCAGGTAAAAGGTCGATTAGCATTTCAGCTAGCTTTGGTTGTACACAGGAAACAGAGTGTTGAGAGCGAAGGACGGGAAATGTTTGTGGTCATAATAAAATCCTGGTACTGATTTCAATTTGGGTTTATGAAACTTGACAGACGATTGCATGCAAGTTGTTGCTCTGCTCCAACTCCATTCTTGCTTCTCAGTTGGTTTATGAAAGAACATGTTGGTTTCAGCTAAAGACAGTTGCTTTTGTACGAGACTCATACATCCTCTTCTGGCTGCAGACCCTGTATTAGTTTGTAAACATTCACCAGACCTCCACTCCAGGAGTCTGCATCATCTGACTTTCCAAAAAGGACTTACCTTTTTCTAACCACATCTCAAAACATGAGGAAAAATGTCTTGTCTATTAAGCATCAAACTTCTCCACCTCATCTAACATCAGCCCTGTTTCTTCCTCTATGGGCTAAGGGGTCTGGCGCTGAGCAGCAGGTCAGAGCTGCAGCAGGCGTTGGAGAGGAGGAAGAGGGTCCAGAACGACCGTGAAGAGGAGGGACAGAGCCGGACTCCCCTGGAGGACGTGCTGCTCCGACGTCAGCAGAAACAGCACGAGGTAATAAAACTGATCTATAGGTTTAAATTTGGTTCAGGGTTGGCGGTCAACGCTTACAGAGTAGAGAGAACTATAAGATTGATTTTGTCTCTTTCACCTTGTTTGTCTTGTCAGAAGGAGAAGGAAGAGGGGGAGAAGGTTCAAGAGGAAGCCCAGCTGATGGAGTTTGTGCGAGTCCGACAGAACCTGAGAAAGATCCACTCTGCGATCCAGAACAAGGCTGCACACTCATAAAGTTTCTTCAGATGACTGAACTCTGACCTTATCTGACTTACTGCCTTCAACACGCCCCTTCAAGAGGAACAACACGGTGTATGAAAGACAATTAGGGCGCCCTCACACTAACCAATCCGTACCCTGCCTTAGCATGCTTCACCCCCCAAAGTCCAGTCCGTTTGACTAGTGTGAGTTCTCCAATCAGTGCTCGAGCCCGGTACACTTCCTTAACCCTGGGTGACAAGCATGGGCACATTACATGGACATCCTTCATCATGGAGCCAGTAAAGTATCTGTCATGTTCTCTGTCTTGTTCTCCGATGTGTGGATGCAGCTCGACTGCGTATCTCTTCCATTTTTTTGATTTTTGCTTGTCTTATAAACTAAGCACTCTTCTCGATCCCATGCATGTGTTGCATTACGACGTTATGTACGAGAGGTTACCGTGCTCAGGCCCGGTTAGTCCTGGAGCGGTGTGAGTGCGGACCAGCAGGGGAATGGGGGGGGGGGGGGGCAATCGTGCTTTAGTACGGTACTGGACGACTTAACTTAGTGTGAGTGTGCCCTAAGTCTAAAGGATTGAATATAACACACTGATAAACAGATATTTATGGAAGCTGTGATCTTTTATAACTGTGGAAATGTAATTTGATTCTTTGTGTAAATCAAGAAGTGTTTGTACATATTTTTGCTTGATGTAGTAAAATATCAGTCGCATGTTGCAAAGAAAGAAAGAGATGATTAACTTTAACTTGAGATGTTTGTCATATTTGTTATCAACACATTTCTGAATGCATGTCAAATATTTCATCAGCTCGTTTTCTAAAACTAGCATGATTTTGAAAGTAGCATTCCCTCAGTGCTCCGTCTGCACCCACCCCCTCCCCTCTGTGCTCCCTCAAAAGCCACACCCCTCACTTACATGCACGAGAGCCATTGGTCCAGATGCGGACCTCGGCTCATCGCTTTGAGTGTGGGCTATCGTGCACGCAAGAGGTAAAGAAGGAGCAGGGAGACAGGGAGCCTGTCATTGGTTCATCAGATTGGTACCTCGTTGCAGACATTGGTCAAAGTTTTTACAGGCTTACAAACTGCTACAGATGACAGATTTTCTTTGTTCCTTTTTCAGAGAACATGAGTTATTCATTTCTGTCAGGACCTAAAGACAAGTTCAACCAAAATCTTAAAAAAGTGGATCTGGAGGAAATTACCAACCCTGCCTTTAATGAAGGAACTGATATTTTTCTATTCAGATGCCAGAGAGAAATTTCACGCTATGAGCGTCATGTGAACAAGTGACTCAGCGAGATTTAAGAAGCAGACTGTTTTGAAATGCTGCAGATACTTTCAGGAGTGCATGTGTGAAAACAGCTAAAGATCGCCAGACTTGGCCACCTGAGGATTTGACCCTGTCCGTCTTTGTTGTGGTTTTTAAAACGACTACTTGACTTGAGACGTCTGTCAGTTTTCCTCTCGATGCTATTTGCAGCTCCCCCGTGACTCGAGCTGCTGTGATAACCTGCGAGGCTCTGGGTGTGTTGCCCTCTTAGTTTATACGTTTTGACAAAAGATTAGTAAAATTATTAGTGTTCATCCACAGAGACCAGGTCTAAAATCAGAGGCTTGACCTCTGAGATTACTCCCCAGCTGCTGTCCATGGGCAGGTGCTGTGTATCTGTCTGTCTGTCCTGCATAGTGTTAGCCTTACAACAAAGATTTATTACCCATAGTCCCTCTCTCCCCCTCCCCACGGGTAGACGACTCCTATTTCTAGTCAAGGGCAAACATTGTAAATAGCTCTAACTGTGTTTCTATTGTCATGTACACACACGACTCCACTATAAACCAGGACTATCCTGTGTGAGGACAATTACAAGTTTTACTTTATATTTCATTTCATTCAGTCTGCAGCAGCTGCCCTTCACAATGTTCAAATATGGAGGGCTTAGGTGTTTATGGTGAAATGGATATGAGTGACCTAACAAGCATTCTCTCTGATGCCACACCAATTGTTGGCAGGGCTTTCCAACAGATCCTTTACTCTCTTCTGTGACTACCAGTAGCCTGACTCACATATGAATATAAGGCAGTACTGGCTTAATGACAATATGGACGTCTGGAGAGTCCATAAGTAGAGTAAGAGTCATCACATAATGACAGAAATGATGTTTGAAGTGGTTGAGAAATGGTTTCATTCTTATATAGTTAGTGCGGAAATCACCAATTCAAACTCTTTCTCATGTATCTGCATACATAAAAAAGATAAAACACTGTTCTCCAAACCCCCGAGAAGTGTGACACAAATAACTGTTGCAAAAATGAAAATTTATTGACTGCTTCAGCTGGCAGCAATAAGACAGATTGTAAATGCTGCAACGTAATCCTTTTGGGCAAAAAGTGCCAAACCAGAGTGTCACATTGAGTTTGCAATCTACAGACTCAGACTGTTATCACTAGTGTCTGCAGTATTACAAATATTACAAATGTGCACATATTTTGGAGCCTTACATGCAATTATTTGAAAGGACAGAAACTAAAGAAGGATATTTGGGAGGGTTAGTGGGGACTGACATGCAGGACAGGAGCCGCTGCTCAGACTTGAACCAAAAACCACTTGGAGGACGTTAGCCTCTGTACATGGGGCGTGACCTGAAGGTTAGCCGCTTAGCCTAGATTACAGTTTTTAATTAGGATGATAATGTTTTTAGACCAGGGCTGCTCTGTGTTGCCGTTGCAGAAATCCCTAACATAATAAGTGGTATAGATGACAGACGGATGGATGTATCTGATCAGGCACTGAGGATATTGCTTGCTTCAAACCCACCAAACTCATTTTTCCAATATGTACAAAGGAATTGCTTTTCACTGCATCCTTGACCTTTAATTTTTTATTTTTTTTGTGACTTTGGTGTTTTTTATAAGATTGAGATTCCACACACAAGAATACAAACCAGTAGAGACAGGTCTGTGAAACTAGCTATGGCTTTATCTTCTCTCTCTCTCTCTCTCTCTCTCTCTGTGTTTTTGGTTGTTGATACTTGTACCTTAAAGGCCGCATCAATAAGTACCTCAAGTTTTTGAAAAGTGCTACCTTCAGAGCAGGAACTTTCTGGGGTTAAAAAATGGATTCCCTACATAAAAAGTTCCTCCAGAAGTTCCTGGTCCCTGGAAACATGTTTCTGCAGTGGAAATGGGGCTAAAGGCTTCTACTTAACCTTCCCTGCTTCTAATCTGTAACAGGTGCTAATACTCATGATTTCACACAGATGACAAATCAAGTAAACATGTTGTAGGCACAACCAGCTTGTATGTGTGATATTCTCTTGGTGATAGAGGTCATCGATTTGAAAGCTAAAAAGAAGCTAACGTATGTTTTTCTTCTTAAGGGTCCATGTTGAAGTTTCTACAAACTTAAACTTTATGTCCATAAACCATCCTGGTTTCATAATTCCAAAAGAAAAACTGAACTTGGTAGAGCAGCATAGAGGGTTTTACTGAATGGATGACCTGAACAGAAGTACAGCTCATAACCCCCAAACAGAGAAGAGCATCCCCGCTTAAGTGCTACTAATGTTGCTCTATTGTTGGTCGGGCTTCTGTTGTTTCCTATTTATAGATCTCTCTTTATCTCCGTGTCTCTCTGTCACTCCCTCCCTCTATCATCCTTGGATTTTTTGCAGGATGGGTCGAGAGCTTTTTTAGTGCCACGCTCACCCCTCCCACATTCAAGCTCTGAGGCGGTGGTCAGTATTTGTCCCGTGTCTGAGAGCAGCAGCAGCGGTGTGTCAGAGGCAGGGACCGAGCAGCAGCCATGGATGACGTGTATAAAGCAGCGGTGAGTACACACGAGGACGAGGATGATGTGCTGTTTTAATGCATGAAATCAAAGTACACATACGGCCCTTTGTGTGTGAGGCTGCGGACAAAAACAGGAGAAAGAAACTCTTTGTAGCATGATATGAATCAGGAGGTCTCTGCTGGCACTTGCTCTGACTATTGGACAGTAACAGGTGCTCCAGAGATTTCAAAGTCATGTTCAACAGGCAGAGATCAAACGCAGTCACACTTCAGTTCAATCCAGAACAACAGCAATGCACTTCCTTTTTTAACCCTTCACTCAAAGATTAACAATAATTTCAGATAATTGCATTCCACAACACCATGGCTTCTGTTTTATTTTATTTCAATTGTGCGGTTACAAACGTCACGTCATTGCATTCCCATTAAAAAAAATGAAATCAGAGCCGGAGTGAAATGAACACATGAAAGTTTTACCAAAAAGCTTTGGACCATGACAGTGTAACTTTTTTTCTCATGTATTTGGGAGATCAAGGTCAAATAACAAAATCTAATGTTTGAACTTCATGGATTCAAATTTCAAATTTTGAAATGGATTCTCCTTCTAGTCGGGACCGCAGCTTCTGCTGAGGACGCTGAGGTCATGTCCTTGATATCTTTCAAGGGGAAAATTATTTCTTCAAGACCGCAGGGGGGACGCTCTCACCCTCAGAAATATATACAATTTAGTGTTTTTTTAGGACAAATTTATAACTTCTAAAATTATTCTACATCTAAATTAATTAACAATCCCAGCTTCTTACATCACAGCTTTATTCTGCACGTGTTGAGTCAACTTTGAAGCAACATTTACCGGATTAAAGCTCCTGTGAGGAGAATGATGTTGATTCTGGCGCCCTCCTGTGGACAAAATTGATTTTGTATTGTACATGTGCAAGCCTCATTATCCACCTAAAAGTCTCATCCTGCTGCTTTTTTTGCCTTTAATTGAGAGGACAGCTGAAGAGAGACAGGAAATGTCAGGAGGAGAGAGTGGGGGTGATGGCATGCTGCAAAGAGGCGAGGTCGGATTGGAACCCACGGCCACTGCGACATGGACCATAGCCTCTGTACATAACCACTAGTCTTTCGGTGCTCCCGTCCTGCTTCTTTGAACAGTGAAACTAATCCCTGAAATACTTTACTAAAACTTACATTCGCTGTGTTAAACTTTTAAAAAAGCTGTCTGCAGCATGTAGTTAAATTTTTCCATCTTGACACCAACCACAATGGCAGCTTAAAAATGTAATTTCTTCATTGATGGTCTTGTTTGCTTCTGTAGGTCATAAAGAGGCATCAGTATTAATTTCATAACCTGCTAAAAACTCCTCACTGGAGCTGTATTATACATTCAGATTTAGAGAAATGTGAGTAATGTAGTGAAAGGACTTCCGTCTTTATGTTTTTGTGTTAATCTCTAACTTGCATTTTCCTGTGATGATGACTCTCTTAGCGCTCTGTTATTACAGCGTTGTTGTATCCTCACTGAGACAATAGCTGAGATAAACAGGCCGCCGTGGTCGCTTCATATCTGTGTCTGACAATAGAACAAAGAACATTTTTGGACACTTCATGGAGAAGAAGAGACGAGACAGCTGATGGCTTTTAAACAGCACCAGAAACCCCCCCACACACACACATACACACCTCCCCCCTCCCTCCCCCACATTGTACTCTGTCAAACAACGAGAATAGTAAGTGAAGAAAGCAGAGCGACATCGCAGTCATGCTGCGCTGAGAGACGCACAGACGGCAGATTATCAGTGAAGTCACTGCTGAGGTATTCAGAGACATTTTTATTCTTTCAAAGTCTATTTAAAATCATCGCTAAACAAGAGAATCAATCCTCTCTGACTTATTGAAATAACATCCGCGCTGGCTCTCAGTTACTGCTCACATCAAATTTAAAACTCTGCTGCTCACTTACAATCAGAGACAGAAACGTCTCCTCCTTACTTTAACTCTCTGATCCAGGTCTACACTCCCTCCCGCCCCCCTATGCTCTGCCAATGAAAGGCGTCTGATCCAACCTTCACAACAGGGTCCTAAGTCTCTGACTAGACTCTTCTCCTCGGTCGACCCCCGGTGGTGGAATGAAGTACCGAACTCCATTCAATCTGCAGAGTCCCTCTGCGCCTTTAAGAGAAAGATAAAGACCCAGCTCTTTATGAACACCATGACCTTAATGATGATGATGATGATAATGAAGAAGATGATGATGGTTTTCTGTGATATTCAGGATAGTTCTGATGCTGATGAGAACTTTTAAGAACAGCTGTCGATGTTGTACTCTGCCTCTGGTCACTTCCTGTCAGCACCTGTGTTTCCAATCCGACTTAAAGCTCTTTAGATCGTCTAGTTTGTTTCTTTGGATAAAAGTGTCTTATAAATTAACTGTAGAATTGTAGTTATTCCCTCTACTGCTTGACTTACTTGTCGAGGTAAATGTAAATCACTGTGTATACCCGAAACTCTTAACTCTATTATAAAATAAGCAATAAAGAAAGATTAAACAGTTTTTTAAATATGAAATAATTCTCCTGATTTTGTTTCCCTAAAGGTTGAAAACTTAACGGAGGAGCAGAAAAATGGTGAGGAAACGACGACCATGACTTTACCTTTTTCTTTTTCTTTCTACCGTTGACCATACAGATTATTAACCCCTTAAATACTTACCTCCTACACTTTAATTAATCTTTATAAGTCTGATTTCTCAAACTAACAATGCATTTTTATGCAAAGTGTTTAACTTTGATCAACTTTAACGATGTGCTGAAACAAAAAGTAAAAAAAAAGAAGGAATCAGGCAAACTATACTCACACACCCTGCTCTGACTTTTGAGGATTACATCATTATCACCAACTGTCAAACATATATAAACCTATATAAAGGATAGACTTTTCTCTCAATACCCTGGATTTATTTTATATCCCGGCTCAAACATAGTTGGAACTCCTCCAAGAGCCATTTCAACTGAGAGAACCAGGAACTAAATTTGGTCCATAAAAGGTCTCTGCTCCACTGAGAGGGCCACAAGGATTTAAAGGAGCGACCGACGTCTAATGAGTCTACCAAAACATTTTATTTGGACCAATGGAAATGAACACATGGTTTACCTGCCTGACTTCAAATCATCCTGCATGCTTTGAGATGATCTAGTTTGACATATAGGGAAACTCAGGGTAAGCATGAGCAGCCAATCCTCAGAGACAGAGAAACAATTAAATCCAGCGCCCATTATGGATGCTGCACTTTTACCAGCAGAGTTCAATCTGATTGATCTCTCTATCCACAAAGTCCATAGAGCTAGCTTGATAAATATAATTGTTTTTGAATCCCTGATATCCTGCAGGAAGCCAGGTGTCAGTATTTATTCTCCTCACAGGAAGACTTAGGCCAAGATTCTAACCAAAGACCATCTTACTTTAAGACAGTGATTCTAAAAGTGGGACCTATGCCCCCTAGTGGTGGCCCAAAGTTATGACAGGGTGCATGTGTGGCAAGGCTGAATAAAACAGATTGCTTTGCTTTCAAGCTAGAAAATATTTCATGCCAAAGGAGGGCGCAGCAGGGAAAGTTTGTGAACCAATGCTTTAAGGCAACAGTGCTGTCCTTCACCATGACAAATTATTACTCACCAAAAAAAGATCTGCAAAGTAAACCATCACCAGCTTCCCAATGTGAGGACACTGTGGTAGACTCAGTCCTGTGTTTAATGTTTTTTTGTATTGTTGTGTTGCGTAACATCCTTATATCCTTCCTGTTTTGAACTCTTGTCTCATATTCAGAGAGTTCAAGTTTAAATGTCGTTTTCCAGAGTTCAAGGCCGCGTTTGACATCTTCATCCAGGATGCAGAGGACGGCTGCATCAGCACCAAGGAGTTGGGGAAGGTGATGAGGATGCTGGGACAGAATCCGACCCCTGAAGAGTTGCAGGAGATGATCGATGAGGTGGATGAGGACGGTCAGTCAGCGTCATTACGATGGAGACTTAAGAGGTGGTAAGATGAGGCAGTGATATTGGATGTGTATAAAGTCGTGTGTGTTTGTTGGCAGGCAGCGGGACGGTAGATTTCGACGAGTTCTTGGTTATGATGGTCCGCTGCATGAAGGAGGAGAGCAAAGGGAAATCAGAGGAGGAGCTGGCCGAACTGTTCCGCATGTTTGACAAGTAGGTGAACTCTCTTTGTCTTCCTGGTTCACATTGATATGAGATGAACACTAAGAGCTGACGGATGGTGTTGTGAACTCTCAGGAACGGAGACGGCTACATAGACTTAGACGAGCTGAAGGGCATGCTGGAGTCAACCGGAGAGTCCATCACAGAAGACGACATCGAGGAGCTGATGAAGGACGGAGACAAAAACAACGATGGAAAAATTGACTATGACGGTACGGACTTTAGAAAGAGAGTGCATACACAAACTGTATGTCCCAGAAACAACCTTTACACAAATATATATAACATCTGCTTCCAAAAACAATACCTCGCAAACATTTTGATATTTGACTCGATACAGGCAAAAGAGCATGCTTCTTAAGAAGTACAGTAGTGACCTTACAAAGGCATTTTTATGCGACCTAAGATCTTGATGCTGCAAACAAAAACAAAACAAAAGAAACTTTAAAGGCTTTATATGCGATTTTTGGACCCAGCAGATGTCGCTCTTGAGCACCAGCATGAAACCAAAACAACTCGCGCTGCATTGTTGTGTTAGCATGCTAATGCTAGCGATCTTTATTATGCTCGTATCTTCACACTGCATGTAAATTTACCTGAAATGAGCGTGATCTAGAAACACAGTTAAGCAGTGAGTACAGTATGTTATTCTTCTTTTCTCTAGTCCCTCAATTAAACAACTTTTATACGTGAGGGGAGGAGCCGGCCAGCCGGCCCGGCGATGTAAACAAACTGAAGATAGGACTCTGAAAACTCTGAAAACATCACAGACAGTGGGACTCGGGTGTTACACCCATTGTAGACAGTCATGACTCACAGAGTTATTTTCAGAGGATATACTTGATTTCTATTACATTTTTAAGTGTGAAAAATTGCATATTAAGCCTTTAAAGAAGTGAACATTGACTTTGGGTTTAGAGAAAGAGTCAATCTTCTGTGTCCTTGGTCAGTCATTCTGTAACTGTTTGATCCGATTATCCCAGACACACTCGTTATGATTTAATATCACATGACCTGACTTCTAATGATTCTGTAATAAGAGAGAGAATTATCCGATGCATAGATGACTAGTACCTTTACATTTGCATGGATCAGAAAGTCCCAAACATTTTCTTGTCATTGAGTTTTCACACATTACCTGGTTGGTTTGGTTAAAATAAACTCGAGGCAGTTTGTCAACTTAGTGCGGTTCGTTTGTGCTGGTGTGAAAGATATCAATCAAAGCCAAGGGCGGACCAAAGAACTGTATCGAAACCGCTTGAAAAGATGATTCTCTGTCTGCTTTTATTCTGAATCTGGTACGGTTTGTTTGTAGTAAGGACATTAACCGACCTTACTTCAGCAAACATGCTTTTTGGGGAATAAACCAGCTACAGTAGCCAGGGTCCTCTCCCTTCATCATCACTGAACATTAAAGACCACAGGCAGACCTGATCAATCTTTAGAAACGGTTTCAGTGGATGAGCAGGTCCTGGTTCAGGAGGATTAACGTGCCCCTTCATCTGAACTGTCTGAAAAAAACACCTTTGCTTAGCTACATCAACATATTGTGTGTGCCTCATTTTCAAACTGTATCGTTTGCCTTCAGTGATTAATGCAAAAAATATAAAAAACAAAGAACAGAGCCGACATCAGTCTGAGCAGTCGTCGGTCCATTTAGAAATTTTAAAGAGTCTTTGGAGCAACCACAGCCAATCAGGAGTCGACTAGTCTTTGTTTACTTCCGGGACTTTTCATGCAAGAAATTCCGACCAATCAGAGATTGTTTTCAACATGCATCACACATTTTGGTCTGATTGTAAATGTCCCCGTGTGAACACAGACGAAACTTGAGGTTATTATACAACAATGGAACTAATTGGTCCATGATCCAGACCAGAGCAAATGATCTACAGGTGTGAAAACATCTAACTGTCTAACTGAAAAAAGCGTCTAACTTTCCACTGGGGGTCTTTATCAGAAACTAAAGATGGATCTTTAGTGACCTTGTGCCTCACTGTGTGTTTTAATTTTTATTTACAGAGTTCCTGGAGTTCATGAAAGGTGTTGAATAAAGGATTTGACTGGAGGCCATTGACTTCATCTTCTGCCAGCTTTTTAATGAATTCAAACAGAACAGCAGTCCTCAGCAGACCCCTGTCCTGTCAGTCAGTCCACAACTCCCCCCCCACCATGCACTGAGAGGTTCACTGAGAGATCTCATTGACTGCTAAAATCTTTATTTCTGATCATGATGATCGACCAAAGCGTCATATGTAAAGAATATTTTCATTAAAAGATTTTAATTCTTGCAAATGTTTTTCTGTCTGTTGTAATAATTATAGTTTAAGATGCTGCAGCCGACTTTGAAGTTGAAAAATGACTCATTCACTTTCTACCCAAGATGGCCGACTTTGAGACTCCCTCTCACCAAGGTTTTATTTAAGTATGGCATTTTTCCTCGGTGTTCACAGCTCTCAGCTCCATTTTAAGGTACAATGGGAGGGGACGAACAAGGACCCTTACTCAGATTGGCTGTTGCAACACCAAGAGAAGAGCAGGTCAATGTTTTTTATATTCAATTTATTCCCACATTGCTGAGCAAACCTATAAACTGGACGACAGCTTCTTTATCAAGACAGAAAAACTCAAAAGCGCTCTGTGTATAATGTAATGCTGTGTTCAGTACGCCCCACAGCCGCTGGTGAAATAACCAACAGATGCTTTATAGTTGTTTTAACCTTTAGAAGAAGTTAAGAGTTTACTTGAATGAGTTAATTCTTATAGAAGATGAGATACCAAAGAGACTCTGAGTCCATGGGACGGGGGGCTTCTATGGTGCATAAAGTCAGTCATCACCATTGTGTTGTAAAAACTACAATACCAACAAAAAACATTCAACTGTAAACTGTTTGATGATTAATTTCCAAAGTTCAAACCTTAAACACAAAGAACACTAAAAATAAAATTAAATCAAAATACAGTAATTTAAAGGACACATATTCTGTAAAACACACTTCACCATGTTCCTCTAACTCTAATATGTGTCCCTAGTCCGTCTACAAACCCCCCAATGATGAGAAAAGTCCATCCTCTACGTCTTCTGACTGCTGCACTTTTCAGAAAATGTGTGCTCAAACAGGCCGTTTGGAGATTTTCCCTTCATGACATCACAAAGGGCAGTAACCCCTCCCCCAGGTGGGTGACACTCCCACAGGTGTTTGTTCTGCCCTCTGAGTTTGCCTTCTCACCGTAAACAATAGGACATGGAGCGAGAAAGCCAGAGACACTCAAGCCCTTCCAGAGAGGGGGCGTGGTCAGACACAGCTCATTTACATATTTAAAGGTACAGACACAGAAACAGCCTTTTCTGAGCAGGGCTGAAATAGAGGGGTTTATAGGCATGATCAAAAACAGGATCAGAGTGGATTTATAACAAGAAACTTCACACATGTTTTGAGGAGCTCTGAGACTTATTTACACTTTTTAAAAAGAAGGAGAATATGTGACCTTTAAAAATGAACTACTTATGTGGAGTGACTGTCAACAATCCTACAAATTTTATGAAACAATATATTTTCACAAACTTTACTTTTTTAAGTCTCTTCCTACTGTTTCAGATTTGCAGCTTTTCTATTGGCTGTTGAGTATTTTGATGGTCCTCAGAGAAGATTCAGTCATAATGATTTAAGCACTACCCTCTTTCTGCTTCTCTCTCTCTAGTCTTGTCAGGATCTCTCTTTGCAGGACTTCAGTAAGATGAAGTGAGGAGGAACTACATTTGTTGTAGAGAAACACTTTGTTACATTTGGAGAGTTTTTTTTGTTTTCAGTTGGCTGGAGCAGAAGAAATGGTATGTATACTCCAACATCTTTTTATGTCTACAAGACGACTTCAGTAAGAGACTCATTTAAGACAGTATTACTGCATGCAAAACTTTTGCACAGAAAAAAAGTTTGTAATCCTTAGTTTTAAAAAAGGATTCTGTCACATTTCTGCTCAAGCATGTTTTAAAACACTTTAAGTCTGCAGTGAGGTCAGAGCTCATTAATTCTCTGCTTCACGTTAATCAGGCTCCTTTAGTCCTGCAGGGAGAGAGTGAGGCTGCACATAAACCTCCCTAACCCTCTGCTGACTGCTGACTTCAGTGAAAAAAAAAAAAAAAGTTCTTACCATAAATTTTGTGCTATAAAAAACCTCTTCTCAAGTAGGGAGCCGAGCTTAGTGGCCTCCTACGGTCCTCACTGTGGTGAAGAGCGTTGGAGGGCAAACAGTTCAAAATGAATGTATACACAGGGATGCTGATACTTTCATTTAAGTCCATGCATGAAGAGACTGTGGACACTACAACTTCATACAAACAAACAACACAGCATACAAATAGTTTGAACCCTTTAATTTGGGTCCATTTTTGTTTGGATTTGTACCTGGAATCTGAATTGGTTCCCAAAGTGGGGGGTCGGGACCTCCTGGGGATCGTGAGACACTGAGAGGGGGGTCGCAAGATTCCTTCCAAAACCATAAAAATCTAAAATAGCATATCTTATCCATTATTGTGAAAAAATACATACAAAAACGATAAACAGTTTATAGGCGTTCTGCTTTTAGCATTTCTTAAAATAGATAGAAAATATTACGTGTTTTGGCAATAGTGTGGCCGATTTACATCCAAAGACAATGGGAGCCCCCGGTTGCTAGCACCGTTATTTGGGGGGTCACGGGCTGAAAAGTTCGGGAACCCCTGAGCTAGCTCATACCAGCTAGTATGAGACAGTTTTTGCATTGTCACCCAGTTCACAAGGTCTTATAGAAGACTTATTAGGAGTAATTAAAATACTTTGAAATAGGCAAGATTCAATAAAGGTGAAGTCACACTTGGTGCAAACACCGTACTTTAAGGGTATCATTACCCTGTAAACTCTGCTGCTAGTGAGCAAGCCATGCTGAGAAACTGAAACATTTATTGTGCATTGGTTAGCTCTGTCGTCTCTCAGCAAGAAGGTTCCTGGTTCAGATCCCCGTCGGTCAGGGCCTTTCTGTGTTGAGTTTGCATGTGTGGGTTCCCTCCTGGTACTCTGGCTTCCTCCCACAGCCCAAACAGGCTCGTTATGCTCGTTAGGTTAATTGGAGACTCTAAAAATTCCCCTTAAGAGTGCATGTGACTGAGCCTGGTTGTTTCTATCTCTGTATGCCAGCTCTGGGATGTACTGGCAACCATGGTGTACCCAGCCTTCGTCCAATGACAGCTGGGATTGGCTCCAGCACCCCTGCAATCCCAAATGGAATGCAGAGTATCAATAAAAGATGGATCGGATGGATAACAGGCACCAAAAAAAATCATTGTTTATGCTAAGATGCAAATCTAAATGTAGTTATTGCAAAGATTTCCTAAAAGCCTAATCAGGGAGCAGAACTACAGATTAGCCATGACTAGAAGTCCTATATACATTACATTGGTTTCACTTTAATGAGATGTAACAATGCCTACATGAACTGTCCCTGACAAACTGATAAGTAAATAAATATACAACATTTTAGGGGACACTTAGCTCATCCAAAGTGAATAGATGATCCAATGCAAGTCAACTAAATAACACATCAGTGGCAGGACTTAAAGCACCACGCTCAAGTCAAATGGCAAAGGGCGATAGAGTACTGAACATCTTATTTTCTTTTTGAACTCGAAGTAGAACTAAACCAACTGGCCAAGCAAGCAACTGAGTAATCCATAGATCGCCTGATTTTTTTAGTTTTTTAATTTCAGTCACTTGTGTGCTTGGGTGTCGGAGGGCTGCAGGGGGGAAAGAGACGGGGAACCAGGGGAACGGGGTCCTGGACTGATCCTGCATCAGGACAATCTATTGTGTTTTAAAGCTTTATTGGTGAGAGCTAGGAACGAAACAGGAGGGGTTCATAGAGGGAGCAAGGTAAATCCAAATAAGAAACAACACTTTAGAAAACAAGCCCAAAAAAACGCAACCCACGACATATAATATTTGTTAGCAACTTTACAGAAAAAGAAGCCCAAAGTCACTTACAGAATAATAAGCGGACTTAGCAACGCTGGTAAAGATCTAATCTAAAAATGAAATATTTATACTTTTATTCCCAGTTTATGTTAAAAATGTCTCCTATCTGATTCGGAGTTTGTCGTTAAATAACAATTTGCTGTCAGTCAATCAATCAATCAATCAATTCAGTAACTTCCTTGATTGTTTCTAATTTGTTCCCCTTCAGTGTGTCTCCATGTGAACGCCTTTATTTGCTCTTTCTGAACAAACCATTTCTTCTTCGTCTTCACTGAAACATCTTTAACACAAAATATCAAACATCATGAGTCCAGCCTTTGGACCACGTCTCCTCCCAGCGCCATCGTTTTTGGTATTTTAGTTCTAACCATTAAATTGGTGGCTTTTACTCTATGATGATGAATGTTGTATAAATGCAGGGTTTACTCCTTACGACTACAAAGAAGGGACGCATTATGGGAAACAAAGATCTATCATAAATAAACCAGTGGCTGCAGATTGCTTTCTGCACACTGCATACTGATCAATTTGATTCACAAATGGAGCATTTGGTTTTAGAATAACTTACAGCCACATCCCCTCCTCACACCCTCATTTAAGTTTTTTATTCTTCAGATTAAATTGACGGCTTTCACTCTGTTAGCATGAATCTTGACATTGATTTAAGGTCAGTGGAATCCCAAACTGCTCATTAAATTATGTGTGAACTTTGTGTTTTAAATCCTCTTCTCGGATCCAGATGTGCAGCCCAGCCATGCGCCCCCTCTGCGTTCTGTTCCTTGTGGTGTACGTCTCACCGTCCCCTGCCCTCTCCGTCGTCCTGCCCTTCCAGCAGAAAGGCCTCCCAGAGCTGGGGAAGACCGTGGACGTCGAGAAGCTGATGATGACGATGATGAACGACGGAGAAGAGGGATCAGGCTTTCAGGAACTGATCAAGGTTGACCAGCCGTTGTGTCCGTTTGAGTGTCAGTGCAGCCTGAAGGTCGTGCAGTGCTCTGACCGGGGTGAGTGTCTGTCACACACTTAGCTTTACACACACAGCTCCATATTTACTGCCTCCTTTCCATTTTTGAAGCAAACTATATACTTAAGGAAGTGCAGCGTAATCACTCAAACCAAAGGCCACAAAGCACTACCTCGTGTTTATCTGATTACAGAATGTGCTTCTCATTTTGAACGGCATTCAGACCACAGACAGCTCAGACTCTAAAATAGCTGATCCGTCAAAGTTTCAGGGAGTAAATGCAGCTCCAGTTTGATTTTCCTTTGGGTTCAAAACTTAATTTAAGCCTAAAAAAAAAAAAAATCATCCTGGTTTCCAATTTGCACAATTAAAACAAATTTTAAAAAAGGAGGAGATGGTAAAAACAATCGCACTTTGAGCTGGAGTGGATTTAAATCTTTGTTATTCCGAGAAATGAGAATGTAAATTATCTGCCGGATTTAGGTGCAGAACTACAAGAGGCAGATTTTCCAAGTTGAAAATAAAAAACAAAAGAAGCGAAAGAGAGCAAGTGGAGCAGGTTTGATAAAGGCCAACCCAAGAGAGGGAACAACGCATCTGCCAAGCACTTTCTTTAGACCTTGGTCCCTCTGTGGTAGAGATGCACCGAGGACCTCCTGGAGTCCCTTTTCTCTGTGGTAAAACATATCTTTAAATGTCAAAATGAAGGCGAGCTCACGTCTATTCAGGGATTTATGTTTGAAAAAGATAGAAGAGTATATCATCCTCCTGTGCACGAGAAGACCACTCCACCTTGTTTCCCAGAATGCAATGCTGAGTCTCATTATCTGAAGGCAAGGTGCTTTAGGGTGACTCTTGTTTGTGTTCACATTTCCAGATCAAGTATCTTTTTGTTCATCACCTCTATTCGCTCTGTTTCTCTGAAGGTTTACACTTTGTGCCCTTCGATCTCCCTCCTGACACCCGACTGCTGGACCTGCAGGGAAACCAGATCACAGAGATCAGAGAGGACGACTTCAAGGGACTGAACAACCTCTACGTAAGAACCAACCAACATGTTCCTCCGACCTACAGCGCTCATTTGTTCACACCTTCTAAACAAACTTTCAGGAGCATTTCTTAAAGGCTTTATGTGTGATGTTTCACACTTAAATATAATAGAAATCAAGTATATCCTCTGAAAATAACTCTGTGAGTCATGACTGTCTACAATGGGTGTAACACCCGAGTCACACTGTCTGTGATGTTTTTCGAGTTTTCCGAGTCCTATCTTCACTTTGTTTACATCGTCAGGACGGCCGACTGACTCCTCCCCTCGCGTATAAAAGTTGTTTAATTGAGGGACTAGAGAAAAGAAGAATAACATACTGTACTCACTGCTTAACTGTGTTTCTAGATCACGGTCATTTCGGGTAAATTTACATGCAGTGTTAAGATACGAGCATAATAAAGATCGCTAGCATTAGCATGCTAACACAACAATGCAGCGCAAGTTGTTTTGGTTTCATGCTGGTGCTCAAGGGCGACATCTGCTGGATCAAAAAATCGCATATAAAGCCTTTAACGAGCAGCACTACTGATAGTAGACAAAGAAAACCTACAAGAGGAAGAAAAATTGTCTTTTGGGTTCAAATAAGTATAACGTGTTTATTGATTCCACTGTGGATGCAGCTGAATGTTTGCACAACTTTAAGTCCCAGACTCCCCAAAGAGACAAAAGTTTATCACATCGTAACATGCACCTTAGTTAAATTACACATGGTGCGTTTTGTGCATTCATCAAAAGCTTCAAAGCCTGAACCCAGATGGCGCTGCTTGCCAACAAGCAGGGCCGGCAACTGCTTGGGGCCCCAGGCCAGTATGGGGTTCTCTAAACCTAAGCAGTGGCTCAAAATGTGCAAAGTTTGCAATAACAGTAGGAAACCTCCCTAAGTGGCCCCATCTGACAGCACTCACTCAAATAATACTAAATGACTGAATGAATATGGGGGAGAGACACTTTTATGGCTTAACTTCCACCAAAAGAAATGTGTTTATTTATAACATAATGGGGATGAGTGCCTATACATTTTTGCCTCGGGCCTCAACAGACTGCAGAACCGCCACTGCCTGAACCAAAGGCAAAGGACTTGGTTGAAGAAGGCTTTTGGAGGAGGAGGAGGAGAGGTGAAACGTCTTCAAGATCTTCAGCCAAGTCCAGTTGCCTTATGATCAAGCTTTGAATTCAACGTGACGTGGATGACTGAGAAGCTTCACAGACATAACTCAAAAAGAAGTGACGGTTGACTTTTGGCTTCACACTAATTTAAGCACTTTCCCCTTCAGTGATAATCATGTATCTGTAAGATCCATCCATCACCGACAACCCAAAGAAAACTTTGTCACCGTCTTACACTACATTTAGATTTGCATCTTAGCATAAACCATGATTTTAACCCGACACCCGCTTTGTCTTTTGTCGTAACACTACGCCCACTGGAGGTTTCAGCCTATAAATACAAACACGAGTTATTATAAGCTTTGCAGATTTTAACAAAGTGAATAGTAAATGGACTTGAGCTTATATATTTCTTTTCTAGTCTTCTGGCTACTCAAAGTGCTTTTACATCGCAGGTCACAACTACACATTCACACACTGATGGTAGAGGCTGCATTGGAAAGTGACCATTAGAAGAGACTCATCCCATTCATACACATTCACACACTGCCAACGAAGCAGCAGGAGCAACTTGAGGTTAAGTGTCTTGCCCAAGGACACATTGGACATGTGGCTGCAGGAGCTGCGGATCAAACCCCTGACCTTCTGTTTGAGAGACGACCGACTCTACCAGCTGAGCTACAGCCTCACAGGGCTTTCTATAAACGTCTGGATTTTCCTTCTCTTGATGGCTATAATTATTCCTCTGGCCCAAATTAGCAGTGAGGACAAACAATCCCTTCGAAGAATGGCTTGCTGTCACCAATACAGGAAAAAAGCTTGACAGCTCATGGTGTTTACATCAGAGTTGAGAAGAAACTTAACGTTAGGAAGTGAAACTCTACTGGAACCAAGAAATGAAATATTATCGTAGAAGAAATCCAGATTTAAAATAAATATCTTTGGAAGATCCCAACATTTTTAGAGATGTGTGGTTTTGCCCTCCTTCTACAGAAGAATCAATTCCCAGCCATTAATGTACGCTGACCCATAACCGCTTCAACCTGCACATGCAGACCTCAGCGTCACCACAAGTATTTTGATTACTCTAATTCAGCTCAATGAAAGCTCTACCCTCCGCTGACCACTTCTATTTTTTTAATCACAGGCTCTGGTGTTGGTGAACAATCGGATCTCCAAGATCCACCCACGTGCCTTCCTGCCCCTTCAGCAGATGCATAAGCTCTATTTGTCGCACAACCTGCTGACCGCTGTCCCCAAGAGACTGCCCGCATCTCTGCAGGAGCTGCGTATCCATGACAACCGCATCAAGAAAGTAGCATCGGGGACATTCTCTGGGCTTTACAACATGAACTGTATCGGTGAGACTTCAGTCTGTATCATAGTGGGGCTGATATTAAAATCAAGACAGTTTTTTTTGCTAATTCTTTGTGGACATGACTGAATGAAAAATGAATTGTTTTATGAAACTAATTACAGAGTTAGGTCGTAATCCCATCAAGAACAGCGGTTTGGAGGCCGGAGCATTCGATGGACTGAGGCTGACTTTCCTGCGTATTTCTGAGGCCAAACTCACAAGCGTCCCCAAAGGTATAAGAGCTCACGTAAGCTCACGTTGCATTTGAAAGATCTGCTGATTGTCTGCGATATACTGTCTGCACGGATAGAAGAGAGCTACTGCAGAATAAACCTGAACCTTGAAATTATAAATGTTAAGAAAAGGAGTTAATTTGTTTATTTAAAACAACAGCAGCAGAGGCCAAGATGTCCTGACATTCCAACACAGAAAATAAAATCATAAAACTTCCTTTTGGCTCCCCTTATATCATAAAAAAAAACATGCAGGGACATGGTGTAACATCATGTACAGGGTAAGGGTACCCATTGAACCCACTGGAAAGCCAATTCAAAAACATTCTTTTAATTATGTAAAATGAGCTCCTCAAAAAAAGTTTTGAAATGTTATTTCAATCAATTATTTCACCCCTTTAATAATACTTAATTGGTCTTGTATTATATATCTTTGGATAGCCTGATTAGTCACCTTTACAACAAGGTAACTTGTAAGGATACACCCAAAGTAAATGTGCCAAAATCCCCTGCATTAGTGAAGACATCAAATCTTTTAGACCACAGACAACACTCAGATGTTAGACGATGCCCAATGAGACTCTTAACTTCAATATCATGTATTTCTATTTCAAGCCATATTTCTAGTGTGCATGTTTGACTGAGTCTCATGTCTTTTACGATGCAGGTGTGTGTGGTAGGTGTGTGCAAACACAGGATAAATGATGTAACCTTACTTACTCAGTGGTCTTCAGCTTCATTGGTTCAGTAAGTTATGATCATGTATTTAGAAACTTCTGTTTGCATTTCTCCCACGTGTCAGGCCTACCTTTTAATCTCAGAGAATTACATCTGGATCAAAACCTGATTCAGGCCATCAATGTCGAGGACCTGATGGAATATGGAGAGTTGTACAGGTGAGTCAAAGACGCCGTGTACCACACACAGCTTTACAGAGTGTGACGTGACAATATTATTATAATCAAGAGATTTCTAGTTGATTATATTTATCATTAACTTCCCCAAGGAATTTATGTTTTAAGGTTGTATTTTCGTCTGGCCTACTTCCTGGTTTTCATTAAACTTTTTGACTGGGTGTAGCATGGGCCAAGTAAGAACCCATCTGATCTAGTTCACTTACAAACAGTTTGACTGGTTCCATTGTGAAAATCATCCAATAATATAAACTGAATTAATTCTTATAAGTCAGCATTCCCCTCATTGCGAGTAATGAGCTCACTGTATTTGCGTTTGCTCTTTCTTTCTGGTACAGGCTGGGCCTTGGCTACAACAGCATCCGCAGCATTGAGCAAGGCAGCCTGTACTACGTTCAGAATCTCAGAGAACTTCACTTGAATAATAACCTGCTGTCTCGTGTGCCTGATGGACTGCCGGAGATGAAACACCTGCAGGTGAGGAGGACATGCACCTATTAAAACAGTCACTGTTAGCAAAGTCCAGACAACACTGTTAAGACCATGTTTTTTTATGAAATTTAAATATCTGTTTATTACTTGAGTCTGAGCTTTTCTGCATTCATCCAACTATCTGGATGTTAAAATGTAAGACTCTTATGCAGTGTGTGTAACAGGCCAGCAGAAAGCCTGGGCTTTAGGCAAAGATATTTAGAGCTACATGCATGTCTTTACCAACATTTGCAGATCTGAGGCGTGTAATATCACATAACATTGATTTGTGAGTTTTCCAGATAATTACAGTTATTAATTTATTCACTTTTAGCGCACATATTTGCAGAGTTTTTCACATGACTATCGTATAATGTTTATGGTTTTTTGCACACTCTTGTAGATTCTCTAACACATCCAACTCCAAATGAGACCATCATTTAAAACCCATTCTGTTCTGAAGTCCTTAATTTGGAAAAAAAGTTTACTGAGGTAATAAATCAAGCAAGGAGAAGCCTCATTTGCTCTTTAGCTCGTATAGAGTTGAACGTCCTGTTTTTGCAACGGCATGGTGTAGTTGACCAGCAGGGGGAGACTGTACTGCTAAGACATGTTTTGCATCGTCTTTACTCATGTAACCTGGAAGTTATGTCAACTTCTTATGCAATGATTCTTACATACTCAGTGTTTCTGTGTGTTTTCTACCAGGTGGTCTACCTGCACTCGAACAACATCAGCTCTGTGGATGTGAACGACTTCTGTCCTAAAGGCTTCAGCATGAAGAAGACTTTATATAACGGCATCAGTCTGTTCAATAACCCGCTCAAGTACTGGGAGGTTCAGCCTGCAACCTTCCACTGTGTCAGCAGCAGCAGGGCCGTTCACTTTGGCAACAATATGTAATGCTGTCCTTTTCATTTAACCTTTAAATATGCAACATTTTTTAAAAATAGATTTAAGTTAATTATATTGCTCTGTAAATGTAATGCACAACAATCAGAGATAGTATTACATTTTTGAAGGGAAGTTGTAGGTGCTTAATGTTTCATACAGGATGGGCGTCAGCGTGGCCCTTATTTTGAGAAGTTTTCAATTTAATATAATTTTAAGCTTGCGAAGGACCAATGCATCAGATTAATGTTCCAGATGTTGTGGGAACTTAAAGGCAGAATGGTACAAACCCAATGAAAGAGGGAAAATAGAGCCCTCTGGTGGTGTAGTCCAGCCATGGCAACAATTGTGAAACATATTCCTCTCTCTTAAGAAGATGCATTCTATTTGAAAAGACAAAAAAAGCTGTACCTTGTTCTTTGGTGCTGCACAGGTTCTTTTATTCTAACAGGTCTGTTCCTCCCTTGAAACTCGACCCTTTCTTTTATACTGTAACATGTTGAAAATCAATAAAAATTAAAGAATTATAAGACCGGAAGTCCTGCATATTGTCTGCATATGTTAATCTTAAAATGAATTTTGTTTTTGCATTGTTAGATTTGGGTATCATAGAAGACCACCCTCTATGGACACATTTCAATTCAGTTCCATAAGAGATGCATTTTTTCATTTATTTATTTTTTGCATTAAAATGGAAAAGCAAGAATTTGGGTGCATTTAAAACCCTTTTCTGATATCAGATATTATCCCAATTTACTTTGTTTACCTGAAACCTGGCTGTGTCAGGATGAATACGTTACTTTAAATCAATCCACTCCTTTCAGTCATTTTAATACTCATATACCTCTAGACACTGGCCAAGGTGGTGGAGTAGCAGATATTTTTAAGTCTAGTCTTCTAATTAACTTAGAATACTTAGATTAATGTGAATTAGCAGAGTTTTAAAGATCAAATGTAGTCCTCAGCACTGGTAAAGTAATAGTCTTTATTGGACTTTATTGGTTTCAATGAGGAAGTTAACAAACCTACTCTTTGATTTAACCACACCCTGGACCTCGTTCTATCTACCGTATGGCTTTGAAACTGAGTTACTCTCGATTCATTTGCCCCCACTAAAACAGAACATTATCAAACAATAAAGATAGCTCCATGGTTTACTTAAGAAACAGTGACCTAAACATTTTTTTAAAGAATTTAGCGTTCCACCAAAATGGAATAATCTTGTTTATTTTGGCAGGATAGTCATAATAAATATATGAAGGCTCTACAAAAGAGGATACGCAAATACAGTGAGATCATTACCCTCTATTCAAAGAAAACAAAAGCAATCCTAGATACCTTTTCAGCACTGTAGCCAGGCTGACAGGGAGTCATGGCACCCTTGAGCCTTGTATTCCTTTAGCCCTCAGCAGTAATGATTTCCTGAGCTTTTTCAACAACAAAATCCTGACATCAGAGACAAAATTGGTAACCTCCTGCCCTTCCCTGGTGCAGATACCTCTGATATGGCAGAAACAGTTCCAGGACCAGATATTAATCTCAACTGTTTTTCTCCAATCGACCTTTCAGAACTCAATTCAATTATTCCTGCATTCAAACCGTCAACCTGTCTTTGAGACCCAATCCCAACCAAGCTGTTGAAGGAAGTATTTCCCTTAGTTAGCAACTCTATATTAGATATGATCAATTTGTCTTTACTGGCAGGCAATGTACCACAGTCATTTAAAGTAGCGGTAATCAAACCTTTACTTAAAAAGCCTACTCTAGATTCAGGAACTCTAGCTAACTATAGGCCTGTATCCAACCTTCCTTTTATCTCAAAGATCCTGGAGAAAGTGGTAGCTAATCAGCTGTGTGACTTTCTCCATGACAACAGTTTATTTGAGGAGTTTCAGTCAGGCTTTAGAGTCCACCATAGCACTGAGACTGCACTAGTTAAAGTTACAAACGATCTACTTTTAGCTTTAGACAGGGGACTTCTGTCTGTGCTTGTCTTGTTAGATCTTAGTGCTGCTTTTGACACCATTGACCATCAGATCCTATTATACAGACGAGAACATTTACTTGGAATTACAGGGACTGCTTTAAGTTGGTTTGAATCCTATTTATCAGATCGATCTCAGTTTGTACATGTTAATGATGATTCCTCTATGCACACCAAAGTTAGCCATGGAGTGCCACAAGGTTTAGTGCTTGGACCGATTCGCTTTACACTATATATGCTTCCTCTGGGAAATATTATGAGGGAATTATGAGAATTATTTCTGACATTGTAACTATACATCTATTTTATTCATTGCTGTTCAATCTGTTTATTTCTGCATCTCCCTCTATCCTCTCATAACCCCTACACAGTTGTTCCGACGGCTGCTCAACATGAGCCTAGTTCTGTTTGAGGTTTGACGTTAAAAGGAAGTTTTCCCTGGCCACTGTAACTTTGCTAAATGTTGCTTAGTGCTGTGCTCATGATGGATTAATGCTGGGTCTTTGTAACATCACAAAACAAAGAGTACAGTCTAGACCTGCTCTTTTTGTAAAGTGTCTTTAGTTAACATTTGTTATGAATTGGTGCTATATGAACAGATTGTTTGATTGACTGATTGAAAAGTCTGGAGCTCTGATACATGTCATGATAGTGGTGTTCAATTCAATATATCTGAATAATGAAAGGAATTTTGACAAAGATCACAAAACATAAATTACAATATTGTGATGTACTGTATATTGATTGACATCCCTCAAGTCTTGTGTCATTGTTTCTTTAAACAGCATTTTATGATGTGACTGATAAATGCATCGCCCAATCAGCTGCTTTATTCTCCCTTAAATGCCGTCCAAGTAACAAACAGTCCAAACAAGATTCTCAGATAACACACCCAGTGAGGATTTCACAGCAGACAGCACAGTCCTCGCTAACAAACACGAAGTCAGCTATGTCGTATGAGAAGCAGGTAAGACCAAACAATACAAAGACCAGCTGTGATGTATCTAAACTGTACCATATTTATGACAACTAAAATCCAAAAAACCTGATGTGCAGTCAGGCACTGCACATATGTTTATGCCTTTCTGTTGTTCTGTAAGTAATGCAGAGTAGTAATTAGGTTTTGTTGTAATAGAAAAAGTGAATAGGCTTGAATGGAACTGTGAATTTGTCAAAAATGTATCTGAAGAAACACTTAATGTTGAATTATATGTATTGAGCTCTTGTATCGTCATTTAACTGACATTTGTTTTTTTTGCGAACACAGACTGATGAAGTTGTTGCCACTGCCAAATTTGGAGACCTGATAGAGTTTTCCTACCCCATCGGATATTCACACTGGGGAGTGAATGATAGAGATGGATATGTCATCCATTTTGCTGTCTCAGGTGAGGACAACATAGAGTATAATGCATATGGTATTATAGGGGTGGGAATTGCAGGGTTACAATTCACTTAGCAGACCAAAAACTTGGGATATGATTTCAGGATACAGTGATTCTGTGGAAATTGATGATACATCACAATATATAATTAGATGAAGAATATCAAAAGTTCATACGAAGGTAAAGTACAAGATTAATGTATTTATTTGTTGTAGTTTGGTGTCAGTTTATTGGGTGTCAGTAGAAGATAAGAAATGTGGGCGGATGGAAAGTTGAAGTTGTAAAGTGTATGTGTCCTGGTTAAAGTCAAACAAAACAAAATTGTAAATGATATGACCTAGGTGTGGGGTGTTTCAATTTAAATCAAAACTGATCATTGTCTGCAGATCGACACAGCTTTCTTACTTGTAATAAAGTCCATGACTGTAGAACCAAAACTTTTGCCTCGCTGTCTAATTGACTCCCGGATCTTACAACAAGGGTGACTCTGTGCACTAATGGAAGTCAGAGAAAAACAGACTTCTCAAGCCTGTATTTAGCTTTGTTTGGTCCCTGTGAATAAAATTGAAAATAATAAATGTGAAATGAAAATCATAATTTGCCGGGCACTAATGGGACGAAAAAACAATAAAACACGAAGGACACGATGAGCAACATCGTTTTTTTGCTCATGCTCAAAATAGTCCCTATTTTAAATAAAATGAAGAAAGATCTCTTAGTAATGTTTTGATGAAAAACAATCCAGAAATCTGGTTTTCTTGTCTTAAGCTATAAATTGTTGCAGATCCCGCAAGTAAACTGTCTCATTCTTCAGATGAGGGGAAGCTAATGAACACAATACGGGCCAACCTACAGAGAGCCTTACCGAGTGGAGATCTTCTTCTGGGTGTGACCAAGGTCTGCAGCATGCTGATCAAAGATGTGACAGTCCCAACAGGGGCCAGCATCCGCATCAATAACCACCACGACTTCGATGCATCATCGCCGGAGGACATGAGGCGATGTCTGAATGCCCTTCTTGGTCAGGACTTCTCATATCATCTCCTCAATCTCAACTGTGAGCACTTTGCCACCTTTGTACGCTATGGGAAAGCTGTGTGCAACCAGGTAGGCTACATTTTTAAACGGTTGTTTAATTTTCACATTTTTTGTACAAGCCTTGACATGCAGATGTGAAAAATCTGTTTAATCAAATTTCATAACATTCATCCAGTTTTCTTACACTTAGCTCTCATTCATTTTTTCAAATTCAAAAGAAAACCTCAATCTTAATTGTTTTTATTACCATGCTGAACCCTTCAGCATGATTTGCAATTTCAGAAATATCTCACAATGCAATCATGGATTTACACTGTGAAGTCAGTACAGTTGTTTATTCAGTGTATAGCCTGTATTGCAAAATCACATTACGTCATAATGACCACAATTGACTACAGAGATGTTTTAAGGTTGTTATTTGTTTCCTCATTTAGATTCCTTTCAAAGCCGGCGAATGTGTGGAGGCAACCAAAACCTTCCAGGAAACTGTCAACTCATGGCAAGTTTATTTATATATCGCACCTTTGAGAAACAAGGCAATTTAAAGTGCATCACACAAGACATGGAGAGCATCATGACAAAGAAAAAAAGAAACATTAAATTAGAACATTAAAAAAATCAGTAAACAAACCAGCAACAATCACAGAAAAAGATCAATCCAGATTCTGTTACAAATCTCACTTCAAATTAGACCATGATTTGAAAAAAAAAAAGAAGATAAGCACCATTCTGTATAGAAGACATTGAACTTTTTTGAGGCCATACATTCATTTGGAAAAATGTTTACAGAGGTAATAAATCAAGTGAAGAGAATCCTCATTTGCTCTTTAGCTCATATATAATTTAACTTCCTGTTTTTGTAATTGCATGGTGTAGTTGACCAGCAAGGGGAGACTGTACTGCTAAGACATGTTTTGCATCGTCTTTACACGAGTAACCTGGAAGTTATGTCAACTTCTTATGCAATGATTCTTACATACTCAGTGTATGTCAAACAACAGCAGCGCACATGTGAACTTCTGTCATGGCATCAGTCTGTTTAACAATCCCCTCAAGTACTGGGAAATTCAGCCTGCAACCTTCCACTGTGAGACCCTCCAGTGGTGTAAGCAAGATATTGTAACCTGTGCTTTTCAAAACATTCAACATGGTAAAACATATTCCTCTCTCTTTAAATGATACATGCTATTTGGACAGTTGACTGGATCTTGTCTATTGGTGCTTCAGATGGTTTTCTATTCTTGCAGGTCTGTTGCCCCCCTCTTTCTCTTCCATACTGTAAAAAAGACAGGAATGAAAGGAAGTCTTGTAAATTGTCTGCACAGGGTACTGTATGAATCAATGTTTTTATATTGAAAACATAACAAAGGGTCAGGCTGTGTAAAAAAATAAAAACTATATTGAAATGCTTTTACTAAGAAGTGACAGGGGCGTGTCCACAGGGGTGGCCGGGGGTGGCATGGGACCCCCTTAAAATCTTGGCCACTCCAGGTTCCACCCCAAAATCCTTAATGGCTATTTGCCTTGCCAGAGGTGGGACTTATGAAATCCAGTATTCAGGCTGTGTTGCAACAGGCAGCTCATAAGTTTTTTCAGTGCGCAGATGTTTGTTTGCAATTTTTTAAATACTTTAAATTGTTCCTTTGGATATACATATTTTTTGAGTCCTTGAAGAATGAAGCTTAGTGTGTAGATGTTGCCATTATCGTGTGTAACTTAACGTCGATGTGATCAATGCAGACAAAAGGGGGGAAATAAATGCTCTTCAGTCACGAGTGTGCACAAAAACTTCAGGCCCCCCTGCAAAAGTCAGTCCCCCAGTTGGGCCACCCCAATCCAAAATAATTGGGTAACTTGTGCAGCATCTCTGTTGTGTTATTGTTTCTTAAACTCAGACGTCTTAGATGTAATTGTTATACGCATCAGCCAATCAGCTGCCTAATGTCCAAGTGACAAACAGTCCAAACCAGATTTTCAGACTACACACCCAGACCTGCTTCACAGCCGATACCACAGACTGCACAGTAACGCACATCGAGTCAGCCATGGAGTACAAGGATCAGGTAAGACCCGATCACACACACCTCTCTCTCTCTCTCTATCATTTATACTACAATAGCATCAAACTGAAAAACAAGAAATATTCTCTGTTTGATTGCAAATGATTCTGTTAGAGTATGATAGCTGCTTCACATGTATTACTCATTTGTCCGGCCTTGTTCTTCTGTGAGTCATGCATCACAGTCATCTGGTTCTTGTCGTAAAAGAAAAAGCTGTTCGGCTAATGCTATGCTACTTTAAGCTAATGGAAAATCAAATTTTCAACAATGTTCCTGAGGAAAATATTAAAAGTTATTGTGAATAAATCTGTCTTTATTACATGATATTAAGTTGCATTTATTGAGCTGAAACTTTAGTCCAGAGTCACTGACAATAAGTCAAATTAGCTTCAATAGATACAAGATGGAAATCATCGACAATGTTTGTTCATGCTTCGCTATCAACAAAAACAACAACAGTCTCACTTATTTAAACTATGAGCAGTATTCCCTGTAAGCAGCAGTTTGCTCGCTGCACAGATTGTAATGCAGCTCAACCTGCTCTCAGACTGGAATGGGTGTGGAGGCGTGCAGGGTGGAGACGTCTCAAAAGACAGCTTACTGTATTTTGTTGTTATTTAACTGTCATGGCTTGCCTTGAACACAGATTGATGAACTTGTTGCCACTGCCAAATTTGGAGACCTGATAGAGTTTTGCTACCCCATCGGATATTCACACTGGGGAGTGTATGATGAAGATGGATACGTCATCCATTTTGCTGTTGCAGGTGAGGATAACATCGAGCAAAATGCATAATATATAAGAGAGGGGAAACCAAGATAAGAAATATGTGTTCTCAAGATACAATACGATACGATACAGTATGATACTACCGTCCTGTCTCTATGGCAACAGTCTGTTGACAACAGGCCGCTGTATGATCGACACTGCTCCGTTACTTTTTAATGCTTAATGTTTAATATTTGAGATTTGTTTTTACTCGACACGGAGCAAAGAGGATGTGGGTACAAGACACGATCTGTTGGCGGCAAAAATACAAGAAATATCGTACATTTAGAAAAGAGCACCGGTGACGTCAACAGCGCCTTTCTGAAAAGTTTAAGGATTTTCAACTTGAGCGTTTGGAACGGTCGCAAAAAAAGAACGCTCGCTCCTCATTGAAAACAATTGAAAAAAGACTTTCCTTGATTTGCAGTTAAAATAACTAAATGATCTGATACTGGATAATAATAAAAACACTGATTTCAGCCTCTGCCGGAAACAGTAAGTTTCAGCTGCTGTTTCTTTAAGTCTCCCCTCCCCACATGCCCTCTTTCTTCTGATTGGCCAGCTCTTTGGCAGCCTTCCAAGGATCAGAACGCTGCAGGGCTGCCAGGGGAGGTCTGCTGTCCAGAGCTGGGAGAATATGTAGGAGGTTTCACCGGCTTACGTAGAGGCTTGGAGCCGTCTCATGATATTTTTGGTCTCATATCGCTGTACTTACAGAACAAGCCGTTTAAGCGCCCTCTGCAGGCTTATTCTGGGATTACTCCAACATGTGTATACCTCATGATCTTATGACATATGTATAAATGGATATCAATGATATCCAGCATTGTAACACTGTATGTGAGTTTTAAAATGGTGAACAGCATGATAGGTCAATTCATTAATTTCTAATTTTTTAGAGGAGGGACAGCTCATGAACAAAGTACGGACCTACCTACAAGCATTGATCCCGGTATGTGGGGACCTTCTTCTGGGCGTCACCAAGATCCGCAGAATGCCAATCAGTGAGGTGACTGTTCCAGTAGGAGCCCACGTCTCCATCGCCAACAACCGCCACGCCTTCAGAGCAACAGAGCAGAAGGACATGAGGCGACGGCGAGATGCCCTTCTTGATCAGGAACTCACATACAAACTCCTCACTCGCAACTGCGAGCACTTTGCCACCTTTGTACGCTACGGGAAAGCTGTGTGCAACCAGGTACATCATCAGCGCTGTGTTGTTTTTATACACAAGAGTTTTAATTGTTAATTATTAAACAATGTTTTGGTATGAACTTTTGGGAATCATAGGAAGGCAGATAAAGCAGTAACCTGCTTTGTTGACTGTTTAAAGGTCACATATTATAGAAACATATAGAAAATCCTCTTCACCATGTTCCTCTAACACTAATAAGTGTCCCTAGTCTACAAACCCCCCAATCATGAGAAAAGTCCATCCTCTCCGTCTTCTGCCTGCTCCACTTTTCAGAAAATGTGTGCTCAAACAGGCCGTTTGGAGATTTTCCCTTCATGACATCACAAAGGGCAGTAACCCCTCCCCCAGGTGGGTGACACTCCCACAGCTAGGTGTTTGTTCTGCCCTCTGAGTCTGCCTTCTCGCCGTAAACAATAGGACATGGAGCGAGAAGGCCTGAGACACCCAAGCCCTTCCAGAGAGGGGGCATATTTAAAGCTACAGACACAGAAATAGCCTGTTCTGAGCAGGGCTGAAATAGAGGGGTTTATAGGCATGATCAAATACAGGATCAGAGTGGATTTAGAACAAGAAACTTCACACACATGTTTTGAGGAGCTCCGAGACTTATTTAAACTGAAGAGGAGGATATGTGACCTTTAAGACTTTGGCCTTTGTATATCATATTTTGTCTAAACCTCAAGATGCAGATGTAAAAAATGAAATCAATTTACATTACTCTTCTTATAGTATGTACACATTTAACTTAATTAAAACGTATTAAACCTAATACATCAAATTGTTGGTAGTTACTGACACCCCAAATTTTGAATTTTTATGAGCCAATTACACTTTGTGATAACAATAATGGGTAAAATATATCATTTTAAATGATCTTAAATGATTTGTTTCTTTGGAGGACATCTCTTGACCCCCCCATTTGGTCGCCCGAGACCCCCCAGGGTCACTTCTAAGGGCTTGAACAGGTGCAGTCCAGGATTTACTTCCGTCTTATTTAGGATTTTGATGGATAACCCTGTTGGTCTAATTCAGCAGCACGTCCTACTTTGTTAAAATAACAACCATGTTATGCTGAGTATTTACTGACAGACATTTCTCTTCTGTTCTGTAATCCTCCTTCAGATTCCTGCAAAATCAAAGAACGTGGAGTGTCAGGAGGCAACCACAGCCTTCAACGAAATTGTCAGCTCAAACGATACAACTAAAGATCTTTTTGGATGAACTCTAACTTTTTTAAATCTTCAAATTTTTTACATTAACATTTCTGCAGCTCTTTTTGTGGATGTGGCTCAGGTTTCTTTGTAAAGCTGGAAGGGACTGGAAGTTTTTCTGCCAATAATTAAGCTGAAAATATGCATGTTTGGGCTGCAAGGGATGTTTGTCATGATCAATTAATCAGCCAAATCTTTTCTTAATAAAGTGAACAATTGTTTCGACCTTTAAAGTGTCCTTTTTCAGGAACATTTTCCAGACGTCATAAACTCTCAGGGCTTAGCCAAAACCAAAGGGTGTGCTTGGACATCCACCTCCAGAGAGTTTTTCTTCCCATTGATGAAATGATTTAAAGTTTGTGTATATTTGAGAAAAAAAAGTAGCTGCCTGTGAAAATAGACGTCATATTGCCACTGTAACTTTGCTAAATGTTGCTCAGTGCTCATGACGGGTCAATGTTTGGTCTTTGTACATATTTTAACAAAGACTCTTTTACCTTCTCTTTTGTAGTGTCTGCAGATAACATTTGTTATTGATCTGATACAAAAAATGGGTAAAACTGACCTGTAAGATTAGAGTTATCAAAAAATCTGTATCATTTGGGCAAACAGTCATAGCTGCCCATGAGAAAATTAAGAGTATACCCACTTCTTAGGCACCACTACACTGCTGGGTGCCCAACGTGCCTTATAATGGGTCATTATAAAGCCTATACTTTATTTCATATCTGTATCATCATAAATTCATTCTTCTCTGAAAAAAGGCGATTACAAAGTAAACAGATTGCAAAGTAAACAGGCATGGATAATGAACCTGTGGACATGGATTATATGCACACAAATGGTCACCGTTTATAGATTTACACAGCTTTTTGTCTCAACTGACAGCAGCAGGAGTCGCTGTCCATATTAAAAATAAAAAAATTAAAAGGATTTAGGACAACATACACAACAGTCTCATAATACTCTATGTTATTCAGACTCAAGCGGCCAGGATATGTCAGTATCACGCAATTTTCATCAGCAGTACCTGAGCAGGAGAACGGAAGTGAGATGCACTCTAACCCGGAAGTTCTTTCATTTTAGCTGAAGAACGGGAGTCTGCTTGTTTTTCACATGATGTCTGTCTGAGGACCAAAACCATCAAACGAACCCATATTTCCTGGAATAAAAGAACTTGGACTGCAACTCTAGAGACTGTAAACACATTAATTTAATATCCAATGTGCAGTCGAACAGAAATAATCCACCGGATCTGTTGTTTGTGTCCTGAAAGAAGCTTTGCGGCGCTTTTTGGACACTGGGATGCTAACTTCGCGTTAGCTGCTAACCAGACAGTGAGAGCGTTGGACTTGTCAAGATTATCCAAGAAGACAGGAGGTAAAACAACACCTATTGTGAACACCCGTGTCTTGTTTGTGCTTTCCTTGTTGCCTCGTCAGTGTGAGTGTCCTTAACGCTGTACTGAAGCTAACAGCTAATGCTACAACACAGACGCAAATAAAGAGAAAATGTGTTGTTTTCATGCGGAGATAAACGCTAACGTAGCATTTTCGTAGCTTGATTATTGGTATAACCGTAACTTGTATCGGAACCCAGTGCTGTCTTGTTGTTTTTGGACCTCAAATCAACGTTTAGCATCTGTTTTAAAATCCCACAAGAAGTATAGCTAACATTAGCGTGCTAGCTGACTTCCGCTAGACACTTAGCCGTTAGCTCGTCGTCTGTCTAAACAGCTGGATCTGTTATTGTTTGTTTGTTTGTTTGTTTGTTTGTTTGGTCAACAGCACTAAACTGTGTCTACCCTGACTTATTCCAGTGGCTGCAACGTTGTCGCCCCGGTTGAACTCATACTTACATGTTGTTTTGTCTATTTTAACGAAAGCTTTATGATGACAGCGTTGTTTCTGTTTTCTTTGCTTCATTTCAAACTTTAATGTTAAAACTGTCTCATGTTAACGTATCTCCAGTGTGTGCAGCCATCTACATCTTTCTTTTAGATTATTTCTGGAATTTGAAACATTCCTGAACATATCACACCTCATTTCAATTTGTTACCATGGAAACACACTATTGGATTTTTGATTCGTCAATATTTACAAACTAATTTGAACCTACACCGATATGTACTAGGCCTGCACTGTATGAGGGAAATAGGTGAAGGTGAAGCATTGTGGTACATTCCTACATCTCAGCAGAAATGTTCTTATCTGCTTTTACTGGTAATTAACTTGTTAAACCAGTTGTTCTCAATTGGCCGAGCCTCAGAACCCTCCACCAACTATTTCATGAAAAAATCATGACCCGGATTTCTGATATTTTTCAATCAATCAGATTGTATTTAGCAAAAGAATTGTGCAGTTTGGACCTCAGTGTTGCCTGTCCTCAATTTGTTAAACCATATGCTCATACTGATATACCGTAAAATCCGCACTTTTCTGAATTGAGTTTTAAACAAAATAATAATGAGTCTGGTGGTAATAGCCAATTAACCTCAACTAGAAAAACACTGAAAGAAAATGTCTGCACAGCTGAATGTGTGACAGGTGGAGGGTGACATTTAAAGAGGATGAGAAAAATGCTGCACGCTGTCTCGCTGTATGCTGACATATTTATTGACTCACACAACGTTTTTCGGTCTAACTGACTTTCATGAGGTATAATGGCGATCATACCTGATGAATGTCTGCAGGACAGTGTGAGGGAGTTTTTGTCATCGTCTTTAACCTCAACTAGAAAAAGCGATTGGTGAACTCTTGATGTCCCTGCAGATGGAGAGTCAATTTGATTCATGCTTAACACTGATGTCTACCAATGTTAATCTGGGTCTCAAGATGATTTTAAAGTTGTGTGTCCCCCTCTCTCTGTGCACAGCACACCAGCGGGAGCATACAAAGGCAGCAGTGGTTGCAGGGATCTGAGTGTCCCTCACCATCACCATCGGGCCCTGAGATGACCTCACAGCAGCCACAGCTCCCCAATGCTGTCATTCCTCCCCAGCTAGCACAGAACTCCTCCGCTCAGCAGGCCCGGCCTCATATTCAGGCTAATCAACTGGACTCAAGTCAGAGCGGTGCAACCGCTGGCCCTGTGGACCACAGAGCTTTAACAGGCAGGCCGGGCTGCCCCGGTGTGGCAGCAAACGGCGGGGAGGTGGCCAATAGGAACGTTTCTGCTTCCAGCTCCAGCTCGTCTAGGAGAGATGGAGGCTTTGAGCCGTGGCCTGAGGAAGCAGTGGACAACTCCCACGGTCTGTACTCCCTCCATCGTATGTTTGATATAGTTGGAGCCCAGCTAACACACCGGGATGTCAGAGTACTGTCCTTCCTATTTGTGGACGTGATTGATGAGTATGAGCGCGGCGGCATCAGGAGTGGGAGGGATTTCCTGCTGGCTCTAGAGCGTCAGGGTCGCTGTGACGAGACCAACTTCCGACACGTTCTCCAGCTTCTAAGGATTATCACCCGCCACGACCTTTTGCCTTATGTCACACTCAGGAAACGACAGGCTGGTGAGTATAACACGTTAACTCTCTGTTTCTTTTCAGCTTTAAGTACATATTTAATACTGACAGTCTACGTGTTTAACTGTCACTAAAGGGGAGATATCACACCCTGCATTTTTATTTTTAGCATCATATACATAGACTCAAAAAGATCAAGACATTCCAGAGATAGAAAATGTTCCTTTGCACCCACGAGACAAGAGCTGGCTCGCTCTAGTTTAATTTAAGGTCCAGAATGAGCTCTGTTTTACAGTACAGGATAACAAGAACTAAGGACGGATATACAGCACAGACACCTTGAATATATATACCCTGACTGAACATTTATCAAATTATGATGAATACCACACACTATCTTTTTCAACCAATTTCAATGTCGGATTAGGAAAGCTCCCTGGTTTAAAAATATGGCAGCTGATATTGATTCTTTTCCTTTTTTTTGCCGGAATGAAAATCGATCTTTTCTGCATAAAAAGTGTTCTGATTTGTCATTAATATGACTCAGGCATTCATATTTCTGCTTTCGTTAACAAATATCTTTACGAAAGAATATTTAACTTTGTTTACATCGTCATAGAAAGGACCGCTGTGAAACATCCTTGTCTAAGTTTTGATGATCTGACGAATATGCACAGTGTGTAGAGAATGGTTAACTCTAGAGTTTGATCGTACTCTGCAAACTCTGACTTCCTCTATAAAACAATAAGAATAATACTGTATGACAATCGCATTAGAGACCCTTCATTTGGCAGCATCTTTCATCTAATGTAGACCGGCAGTAGTACTGTTAGTGCACTTCCTTTAGAAGATCTTGTTGTTGTCACCTTGAACCAAACAGTGAAGAGACACACTACTGCTGCACATGTAGGGTTTGGTCTGAGTCAAGCCCTTAAAGTTGACCTATGATGCTGATCCCCATTTTAAAACTCAGTTATAGTGTTAGAAAGCTGGATGTCCAAATTAAATATGGGCAAAGTTTCAGATCATGAGGCAAACGTATGTTGGAGTAATCCCAGGATAAGTATGCAGAGGGCGCTGAACGGCTTGTTCTGCAAATCACGGCATACTTCCCCGATATGAAATCAAGAATTTCACGAGACGGCTTCATGCCTCTACATAAACCGTTTAAACCTCTTACATAGACTCTCCTGCAGCGTTCTGCCCACAGAAGGCTTCCCAATCAGGAGATGATATGCCTGGGGGAGGTGGGCTTTAAGAGACAGTAGCTAAAACTGAAGAGTGTTAGGCTGAGATGGGTTTTTACTGATGCTGGTATCAGATAAATAAGGAGGTTTTTAAGCTGCAAATTTTCAAAGCTGCTCTGTAGACCGACATCATGAAAGGTGAACATGAGGAGAATATGGGATCTTTAAGATAGGCTCACTGTTGCCCACTGCTCTAGGTGGGATGATTAGCACAGCCATTAAAAATAACATCAGAAATCAAATGTTGTTTCAGTGTGCCCAGACCCTGTTGACAAATACCTGGAAGAGACATCAGTGCGCTACATTTCACCCCGGGGAGCAGTGCAGAGCAGGGACACCGTGCCTAACAGGAGATCGGGTGGGTGTTTTTGTGGAAGCTGTTTTTTTTTTGTTTTTTTTTTACTAACTATGCGTTGTGAGGGAGAAAACATTGTTAATGTCGTAAACTGATGTCACGTTTTAGGTCCTCAGCCGGTCCTCTGCTGTTCCCCATCAGGACCCCATGTTGGTCCTCCAAGAACAAAGCCGACTCCTCCTGCACCGAACCGCAAACGGAGGAGAAGTCATTCATCAGCTGACTGCAGAGAGAAGCAAACATGTGGTAAAACAAAACAAAACAAACAAACACAACACAGAGAGGGAGATTGTTTTCTGTCAGGTTTCATTTTCTATTTGAATATTTCTGTTTTCCTTTGTACGATGCTTTAGATGTCGTGTGTGAAGCTCTTTGAATTGCCTTGTTGCTGAAATGTGCTATGGAAATAAACTTGACCTGACTTCCTACATGAGGATGAAAACAAAATGAACCCAGTCCAGAGAATGCAGGCGTGCACTTTAGTAAAATTGCTTCTAGTTGTGTTTTAGCCTCTCAAATGAACGAGAAACCGTGTTCAGTGATTGTGCTGGATTAGAGAAAACTGAGTCCTTTCGAGAATCATTTTGAGAATTGAACGTCTTAATTAGTGGTTTGAAAGTTAAGATCCCCTGTTTCTTTGCAGACTGCTGCTGAGCTCTTGCACACACAGCAAGATGGTGGACTTTACTCTTAAACCGTCTTCACATCATTCAGTCAAATAAAACAACATTTCTGTAAAATGACACAGTTTAATGTGTTTGATTTTAACAATCCTCACATCTGAACACTCTCTAAGCACTCGGCACACTCGATTCAAGTGTGACAAATCTGAAACGCTTTTCACTTATTTGCCTGAAGACGTAGTCAGACAACAGGGTCAAGGAACTTTTCCAGTTCAGGTAAAGCATCCTTGAGCATCCTGACTTTCACACGCTAGATAAATGTCATGCTGGGTGTCAGCCCTGGTTCAGCCACGATTGCAGTGTCAACAGAGGTAAAGTGTTGGGTTTAGGGTGAACTTCCAAACTCCATTGGATCTGCAGAGTCCCTCTGCACCTATAAGAAAAAGCTAAAGACCCAGCTCTTTCATGAATACCTACTAACTTAATGATGATGGTCTCCATATTATTGATGATGATGATGGTAATGACGATGGTTTTTGTTTGATAACGATGACTTATAAGATGGTTTCTATACTGATTAGAGCTCTCAAGAACTGCCGTCAATGTTGTGCTTTGCCTCTGGTCACTTCCTGTCAGCACCTGTGTGTCCAATCGGACTCAAAGCTGATCGTTTGCTCTTACTGACATTGTTCCCTTTTTTTCCTAGATCCTTGCTTGTGTTGTACTTACTCTCTGATGTACATCGCTTTGGATAAAAGTGTCTGCTAAGTGAATTGTAGAATTGTAGGGTTAGGGTTAGTACTACCCCTGCTTTGATATTTACACTCTGTCGATGTCATCTACTTTCAGATATCCGCCTCCGTGTTCGTGCTGAATACTGCCAGCACGAGTCTGCGCTTCAGGGGAACGTCTTCTCCAACAAGCAGGAGGCGGTGGAGCGCCAGTTCGAGCGCTTCAACCAGGCAAACACTATCCTCAAATCGCGAGACTTGGGCTCCATCATCTGCGACATCAAGTTCTCGGAGCTCACCTATCTGGACGCCTTCTGGAGGGACTACATCAATGGGTCTTTGTTAGAGGCACTCAAAGGGGTCTTTATCACAGATTCCTTAAAACAGGCGGTGGGCCACGAAGCCATTAAACTGTTGGTCAATGTAGACGAGGAGGACTACCAGGCCGGTCGCCGCAAACTGCTGCGCAATTTGGTGACGAGCGGAGGGATCCCACCCGGAGGGAGCAAAGACTCGGTATCTTAGACTCCAGGTGTTAGCATCCAGCTGCTGTGCCTCCCCGACAGAGAACAGAGAGAGAGTCGTGGATGTGTCATTTGAGGTGCCTGAACTGCGTGCCTGAAAGGAACTAAGGTCAAAGGAAACCCTAAGCGGGCCTCCTGAAGCGTAGCATGCAAGGTGTCTGGGAACTATGTTAGCAAAGAGGAACGGGCGATGCATCGACAGGTTGACATTATTCTGAATGTTAAGCTGCTTTCTTCACCGAGGAGAATCCTGATTCATGCTTGTATTGAATATTTTTTTTCTCGTTTCATGTAAACATGTTAACTTTAATGATGCTCTTCACCCCTTGTTCAAAAGGTCATTTTCAACGCAGGAAAACGCGCTTAACGCTGACGTGTTACTCCCAGTGGGAGTTGTACTTTATTGCCAAACTGGTTCATCCTTTTCCCAGGTACTTGAGATTAATTGGATTAACCCAATGAGAGTGTTCTGTATGTGACAGAAAGGCAAAGACTGTACTTGATTTTCAAATTAGTTTTTTTCTATTTCTTGGAGCTTATCACCCCCCCCCCCCCCCCCTTGCAGAGTTTCCTCATCTGTAGAGCTGAACCCTTTCCGAGCCTTTTTTAGTGGCTCAGACTTTGTCACTGTCGACTGTTCTCGTGTGTTTGCTTTGTTTTAACTTTGTTTTACAACACGGCTCTTTAGCAGCAGATCTGTGATGCTGGCCTCGTTTTGAAAATGTCAGTTGTCCAGTCACTGCCAAATATTTCAAAAAAAGTCACTCAAACCCTTCAAATGTGTCGAATCGTGTCCCGCTGAACTCTGAGTCACGCCGGTGTTTATCAACATCTGTCGGCCCCCCAGTACCTCCCGGACCTCTACTCACTCCCCCTCACACACACAATTCTACACTCAGCTTTATTTTATATACAAGATTTCAAGTAACACTCCAAATACTTACAGAACAAATCAAAAGCAAGTGAAAGTCTGTTCTCATCATGCCCCCTGGTGGATGAAAATGTAGGCTCGTTGAAGGAAAATGTTGGCCTTGATTTGACCCCATCAGGACTCGTCACACCTCCAGTAGTGTCACAAACCGAGCTCGAGATTCTTTTTTTCAGGTTTTTTTAAAAGCAGCACTTTAAGAAACAACATAACAGATAGCTATTCAGCTTGTGAATCCTCTACGACCTGTAAAGCAGAGAGAGTGTAGCCTGTGATGCTAATCAGAGATAATTTGAATTCCTATGGAATGGTTCAGGTACTGAAATGGTTCACCAGGAGACGGTGGGTTTGATGTGACCGACCGTAGTCTCTGTTTTCTGCAGTCGTACAATTCTCCCAGAGGCAGCCATATTAGGCTAACGTAGTTTAGTGTGAAGCCCGCTGAACCTGCTGACAAATGAACCGGTTTTGTTCCAGGATTTGTTTGGAGGTCTCAGGCAGTTTCTGCTGATTTTGTAGCTGCAGGTTCAATGCTTTGTGCACGCCATCCCACCTCCGATTCTGCTGCACGTAGTGACGTAAGAACTCAACCTGTTATGTGTGAACCATTTAATTACCATAACCATTTATGAAGACTTTAAAATAAACAATAAGCTGTGATTCAATGTTCAGGAATGAGTATCTCACATGGGCTGCCACTCATCCAGTACAGATTTTTGTATTTTCTGATTGATCTGCATTTCAGAGTTAGAGAGCTTATCGGTGAAAAAACATCCTGATACCAAGAGTCTGCAGTTTTCATTTGTGTCCCCATGTCGCTTCATGTCAACAGCTAATTCATCAAGTGTTATAAGACGAGGATAAACACGGCAGCGTCGGAAAGCACTGCTCATTGGCACTTTTTTCGTTGCTGTGTAATCTCTCCACTTGCAGAATCAAAACATCTTCAGACACGACTTTTTAATCCCAGATGCAACGTTTAAAACGATTCTAATTAATATTCTCAACATGTGGGAGAGTTGATTGTGGTCTGGTAACCGGAGGCTTGTTGGTTTGGTTCATCTTTCTGTGATTTGTGAAGCGATCATATTCAACATTTACCTTAACACAGAAAACATGTTTGTTATTTTTTTTATAAAAATGTGATTTCAGTCTGAGATTCAGGATAATATCCATCCCCCCCCCCTTTTATCAAAGTAAGACATGTGTCCCCCCCCACCCCCACCACCACCACCCCCCTGAGCTCCTCACACTGGAGCTCTGCTAACACCATAAGCTAAAACCACGTTATGATTTGTGGAACATAATTCCAAGATAATGTCTTGACGAGCACGATGGGTGACCGATATGAGGATTCACATATTTGCCTGTTTTTATATTTGTTTAACTTGAGCAAGAAATCCTTTAACACTGTGTCGACTTTTACAGATCTGCGTCACTGTGCAGTGATTTTTAGTTTCTTTACGACCCGTTTAATGCAATAAAAGTCACTTTGGGTTCATGCTGCTGCTGTAGTAAGCCAGGCCGGTTTCTGTTCCAGGAACTGTAATCGAGCTGGAAGGTCGTCAAACTGGGCACCGAGTGGTCGACCTGACGTTGCAGGAAAGACGAGGAAGTTAAACCAGAAACAACAACTATGTCCGCTTACACCGAGAGAGTTCTGTGTTTGGTTTTCTGCATTCTGAAGGGCAAATGTTTTGGTTTGTGTCTAACCAATGTGAACGTAAAAGAAAGATCCTCTGATTTAATTTCCTTGATTGACTAAAGGTTAAATGAGCTCCGCTTTTGGTCCGAGTAGCGATACACACTTCTTCCTGTTTTGCCGATTAAAGTTGCCGTTTGACAGAATTCACACGTTCTGCAGTCACACAAATATGGAAACATTTCTTTGGAATACTCAATGATGACACACATGTCAAGGCGGCTGGGGGGGAGGACTGTAACTGTCCATTTTTTTAAATCCTCCTAATTGTGACGTTAAAGAAAGGAAATGAATCAAACTTGTTCAACAAGAAGGAAACAACACAGACTCGGAGAACCTTTGTTTGGAGATGTTTTAATATCAGTGATAATATATCAAAGTATTAGCATAATGCTGTTTTGTGATGAGATTCTTTAGACTCTGTAACAGAAGTAGAGAAGAGGCTGAATGTCACTTTTAGTCCGAATTGTCATTTTAAATGCAACTCTCTAAAAAAAATCTCATATTTGACATTATACCTTCGTTTGTTTCTGTTTCTCAGTGCACATAGCCAAATGGTTGACATAAAAGAAAATCTGTGTACCCCAATAAAAGTTCAGTGTATGTTTTTTAACCCAAATGTATTCTTCCTGCAAACACATGCCTGTCGTCTGTCCGCTGTGATCAGCGTCGTCCTCGGTTACATACCAGAACACACGGGTCGCTAATACTGTGAATGATGTAGAGCACGCCTTCCTTCAATCCTCTCAGCCCGCGCGGCGCACCTTCATGTAAAGGCTGCGAGTTAGAATCAATTTACAGGTCGCTGTGTGTTCTGTTGATTGTATGTTCTGTTAGCTGCTAACTTTGCATGTATCCTGTTCTGAAACTCACAGTGCTCACTTTTTGTAAATAACTTTACTGGATGTCAGGTTTTTCTTACTTCAAATTTTGCATTTCTTTCAGAAACAGACGACGAGTAGGACTGTTAATAAATGAACTGGATGGGTTTGGTTGAAGTCCCAGTCCTATTTTTTTTATATGTCACCTAACGCCTAATTTAAAGGAAGAATGTGCAACTTTTTGATCCAGTAGATGTCGCCCCTTGAGCTCCAGCATGAAACCAAAACAAACTGCTGTTTGGCCACACCTCCTCCATACTGAAGCCTCCGCTCTCCTCCAGAGACACACCTCCAACCCCCCTCCACTCGCGCTCACATGAAGTTATGAATTAGAACGCACCATAATTAAGCACAAGCGGACAAAATTGTCCATCGCTTGAGCTGCAATCACCTGTGTCCTGCATTGTTGTGTTAGTATGCAAATGTTAGCGCTCTTTAGTTAGCTAGTAGCTTCACATTACACATAAATTGACACAGAATGAACGTGACCTAAAACTGCTTATATGACATTCAAATAATCAGTGAGTATGTTCTTCTTCTCTCTAGTCCTTGACTAAAACAGCTTTTTTACACAAGGGGAGGAGCCGGCCGTCCCGTCCATGTAAACATGGCTCTGACAACAACAGAGCTCGAGCTTCTCACTCATTGTAGACAGTCATGACTCAGAGAAACATTTACACAGGAGAGACTGGATTTCCACTGTATTTATGTGTTAAATGTTGCTCATTTTGCCCGAGCCACCCAAGCCCTTCCAGAGAGGGGGCGTGGTCAGACACAGCTCATTTACATTTAAAGGTACAGACACAGAAACAGCCTGTTCCGAGCAGGGCTGAAATAGAGGGGTTTATAGGCACGCTATATCAAGGTTTTTTTTAAAATGTTTTTGTAACTTCCTGATTAAAGATTTAAGGAAAAATCAGAATTTCACAAAAACTTCATAGGAGAGATTTTTTATTAAAAGTCAACTAAATGAAAGTAAAAAACAAACATAAAAACAAGTATTTTTTATTAGAACTATGATGGCAGCTCCATCCAAACAGAAGTACTGACAGGGTTCAAGCTGACCTGTTACTAGTACACAGAAAAGGTGAATGCATTCATCATTTGTGCTCAAGTCACAGGTTTTGTGCAACATGTGTGAAAGGCATGCTGAGGCAACACTCTGCAGAAGAAGAAGCCTGGTTGAAGCTAAACTTTGAACTTCAGCCTAATTTCTAATCGTGCGTTGGATAATCTACCTGGCGACCTTGCAGCCAAAACAAGTTGTCTGGTGACTGTGAGCTTAAACATGTGCTCTGGTGAGTCTGCTTTGCTGCGGCACTGACTTATGCTGAGACGGCATGAAGTTTGTGCACACACATGCAAATTAATTTAAATGTATTATATTTTCTTTTAAAGTTATACCTTGGGGCCTTTTTGCTTTTATTAGATAGGGCAGCTGAAGAGAGACAGGAAGTGTTGGGAGGAGCACTTCAGTTTAAGGTGCAGTGCAGCTTCAACGTATAGCACCAGTAGAAGGCAGAAGAATAAATTTGGTTTTCTTCAATGCTTTGCTTGTTTCTTAAAGGAAGAATGTGCGACTTTTTGATCCAGTAGATGTCCCCCTTGAGCACCAGCATGAACCAAAACAAACTGCTGTGTGGCCACACCTCCTCCATACTGAAGCCTCCACTCTCCTCCAGAGACACACCTACAACCCCTCTACACTCACGTTCACATGAAGGAGTTATGAATTAGAACGCACCATGATTAAACACCAGTTAGCACAAGCGGCTGACATCATTGTCCTTTGCTCGAGCTGCAATCACCTGTCAATCATTGTTGTGTTAGCGCTCTTTAGTTAGCTTGTAGCTTCATATTGCACATACATTGACACAGAATGAGTATGATCTAAAAACTCTTACTAACATCCAAATAATCAGTGAGTATGTTCAGTGAGTATGCCGGGAGTAGTCGGCCGTCCCGTCCATGTAAACACGGCTCTGACAACAACACAGCCAGCGGGACTCGAGCTTCTCACTCATTGTAGTCATGAATCAGAGACACATTTACACAGGAGAGACTGGATTTCTGCTGTATTTATGTCATATGTCGCAAATTCTTAATTTGTTAAGTGCTTCTTAGCTTTTTTAAATCATTTTGTTTTTCAATTTCTTTGAGGTCTCTTATTTATGTATTTATGTTTGGACTCCATGAACTTTGACTGCACGTTGTACGGGTTGATATTCTGACGTGGCATAAGGTGCAAATAGGATCAATAAATGAGACTGGAAGTGCAAAGATGAGGTGAAATAAGCATTGGCACATCCGTGTGGTTTGTTGTGTGTTGTAGAAACAGATTCCTGGTTATTAACTGTTAGCTGTGTGTTGTGTTGCTGTCTCTCATTCAAAGGATTCTTTTTCACAAACAGGAAAGTGTGACGGTTGATTGGTTGCTGCTTCTAGGATCTGAAGTCCTTTTTACTGTATGGCTTGTTTCCCAAAAGGTTATCCACCTCCGATATAGTGGAGAGCGTTAACCTCGGAAGAACCTGTGGAATAAAAAGTGACAATTATTTCTCAAACCTTTCATTCACCGTACCTGAAGAGTGATGAACCGTGATTTGATTTTAAGCTGCCTTCATAACAGAGACATCTTTACATTTGTTGACTCCCTGTTTACTCTCTGACCTGTATAGCTCTGATATTCTCCAGCAGCTGCTCTGTTCTGGAAGCTCCCAGCAGGACGGAGTTTACAGCTTCGTTCCTCAGACACCAGGCTGTGAGAGAAGGACAGAACATGAAGAAAACTTTGAAGGTATCTGAAACTCCTCCAGTTACATGCTAAACTTTGGGTAGTATTTATTGTCACTACAAAATGATTCACTTAAAGACAAAGCAGGAAGGATGTGTTTCACCTATAGCCAGCTGAGGCAGTGTGCAGCCGAGTCGTTCAGCGACCGCCTGCAGCTCTTTTAGCTTCACCTGCTGACGGTGTCCCTCCTCACTCAGGATCTTATCCTTCATCCACTGATAACCCTGCAGCAGATGAAATAACACAGCATGATAAATTCCAAAAGAAAGGACAGTAATTCAGGTTGTGAACCCCAAACTGACCACAAAATGTTCTTTTTAACAGGAACACATTTCTTTTCTTTTTTTCGATAAAGCTGTCTGCAGCAGTCCCAGAGGACACTTCAATGGAGTAATAAGAGTATTTCAGGTAAAACGTTTCACAGATGGGGACGAAAATTTCAAAGACTTTAGTTGTAAATTTCACACCAATTTGCATGTTTGAAACTTAAATGTTCTGTAACATTACGGTTGTAAATTTGAAGAAAAAACTAAAACACTTGGATTCAAAGAAACCAACATTTGGCAAAACATTTTAAACCCTAAATGTGTGACTTTAATCTCAGGAAATTCAAATTTTTTTCTTCCAAAATTACAGGACTCTGATCTCGGAAATACATGCGTTCCTAATTATTTTTTCTACGGTAAAGTCAGTGTCTCTTATGCTCTACCCAATCACACTGTTACTTACTATTCTGTGTTTTTTACAGATATTGTGCAATACAGGTAAAGTCCAATATATGTTGTGTTGATTTGCATTGGCATGAGCTTTTCTGTTTACATGTTGCTGAATGTTTGCAGCACTTTGAGTCCAAGACAAATTCCCCCAAGGTGACATAAAATCTATCTATGTATTGAATCGTAATGTTTTCAACTTTGAGGTTTGATTTATTTTGTCTCCACTGTGATAGGATTATTATCGTACCGTGAGGAATGAGACACAATGTGACAATGAGAAGTGGGAAAGGTTTACCCTTAGCGAGGCTCGTGAATTAGGGGGGATCCCGTTGCTATACTTCCCTGAGATGATGCCGCATGCAAGAGGAGACCAAGTCATTGCACCGATGCCTGAATGCCAAAAAGAAGCAAATATTCAGACACATTGTGATACGTCATGGATTGATTATTTGTAGTATGGAGGACTGGTAGGCTGTAACTATCATCAGGAATTAAACTAATACTACTCAAATTATGATTTAAGAAAGAATCAAAAGGCTTAAAGAAAAGTATGAAGCCTCTACTTCAGCTAGCAAACAGAAAAGTAATCTGCAAAGTCCAAATAGTTTTGAGGAGTGGACAGATTTCCCTCCCAGACTCTGGATACTTCTTACCTATTTTGTGGTAGAGATCGGGGAGTTGCACCTCCACCTTCTCCCTCTGGAACATGTGGTACTCTGCCTGTTCACAGATGGGAGGGATCTGGTTGAACTGTCGCGCCACAGAGTACGCCTCCTGCAGTAAACATAGGGAACAATAAGTGAACAGCTGGACTTCATATATAGGTTGTCTGGGGTCCAACATTTCTGACTCAAAAAACAGGCAAAAGGAAAACCTGAGCCAAACTTGAAACTTGGTGAAAAGTAGCAAAATGGTCCCATGAAATCTCCTTCAGGTTTATTTTAAATGTGTGTATGAAATCACCATGATCTCCATGGAGGTCCATCGAGACGTCCCCCAGTACATCGCCATCCCCTGGTTGATCACATGAGTCATTGCCCTCACCGTCTCTACCAGCAGAACAAATTAACAACAATTCAAGGATACAGACTTCAAATGACAGAATCTAAATTTTTAAAGGTCACATATCCTCCTCCTCTTCAACCAGTTTAAATAAGTCTAAGAGCTCCTCAAAACATGTGTGTGAAGTTTCTTGTCCTAAATCCACTCTGATCCTGTATTTGATCATGACTATGAATATGTAAATATGTAAATGAGCGGTGTCTGACCAGACCCCCTCTCTGGAAGGGCTTGGGTGTCCTATTGTTTATGGTGAGAAGGCAGACTCAGAGGGCAGAACAAACACCTAGCTGTGGGAGTGTCACCCACCTGGGGGAGGGGTTACTGCCCTTTGTGATGTCATGAAGGGAAAACGTCCTGTTTGAGCACACATTTTCTGAAAAGTGGAGCAAGCAGAAGACAGAGAGGATGGACTTTTCACATCATTGGGGGGTTTGTAGACAGACTAGGGACACTTATTAGTGTTAGAGAAACATGAAGTGGATTTCACAGAATATGTGACCTTTAAAAAAGGGCAAGGAGACCAGATGATAATGCAAAGTAACTTAGTGGAAGATGCCTTACTCACTCCTTTATCATTTAGCAATGGAAACAACATTCTTAAATGGCTTTGCTAACATCTATAATGGATTACATGTCGCAGCGTATTTGTAAATCATAACCCATGTTCATATAATCTGTATACATCCAGCATTCTCATGTCTTGTTGGATTAAGACAAACTGGATTTAAAGAGCCTCACCACAGTGGTTCTATGCAAACCAAGAGTTTGGTCTGTTGGTGGAGCAGAACACTCACCTTCTATAGGGGTGTTCGGATCTGGTCGATTTGCAAAAACCACGTCTATGTAATCCAGCTGAAGTCTCTCCAGTGATGCTCTTAGACCTGTTTCATCATGAAGATCGAGTCAAGTTATCACTTCCTGTTTGTGCTCTTTTTCAAACAAATACTAAAATTCTGCTGTTACATCAAAAAGGACATTCTTACCTTCAATTATGTGTTTTCTCGATAATCCTCTTTCCATTTCTGCTCTGAAAAACAAACATGTTTGATGTCATAACTCAGGGCTGGGTTTAAAGGTGTGTCCATCCAAGCTCAATGCACAGAGGCAAACTCTACTGGCAACAGGGACAGTCAGTAAGGGGGTAGAACTGGACCCTCTGACCAGAAAAACATCTGCTGGAAAAATTTGTCAAATGTTGATTTTTTTGTATTAAAGGTGTAATATGTGACTCTGATACCTAGTGTTTAAAATGGGTACTGCAGTCCAAATTGTAAACATTGTAGAGAGCTGTCTCCCCCCGCCCCCCTCTTCTCTAGAGTCAATGCTCACGCAGGTTGCCATGTGGTGGACACTGAAGCTTCAGTGTTTATCCAGCTCTGCAACCTTTCTGTGTTCTAACCTCTCTCCATTTTTCAAAAGCATCTCCAATATTGATCCTAGTTTGAGCACGTTTCTGCTCGTGAAGCTTATTAGAAACATGCAGAGGCTTTTTAGGTCAGGTACAATCACTTCTATCTGAACCAGTTCCCCTGCCCGCTTCCATCACTGCCAAAATGGTTTGGTCTGCTGCTCCGAGCAAATTAACCCCTGCTCTCTACCTGTTACTGTAAACTGTCAAAATGGCCGAAAATCAGGTGTTCAAAAAGAGATAGAGAGAGGAGATAGACAGGGGCTCGCCGAGTAGTAGGGACTAGAGAATTCAATTCAATTCAATTCAATTCAATTCAATTTATTTTGTATAGCGTCAACTCATAACAAGTGTTATCTCAAGACACTTTACAAAAAGCAGGTAAAATACCTTACTCTTTGTCTGTTAACATTACAGAAGAGCAGGTAAAAAGACCTTACTCATTGTTATGTTACAAAAAGCAGGTAAAATACCTTACTTATTGCTATATTACAAAGACCCGGCCTATCCATCATGAGCACTTTAGCAAAGCAGAAAAAGTTACAGTGGTAAGAAAATACTGCCTTATTAAAATGCAGAAATCTTCAGCCGGATCCCCGGCTCATGACGAAACAGCCTTCGCAGGCCTAGACTGCGCCGGGGTTGGAAAGGAATAGGGGGAGAGATTGGATAAGATGCAGGAAGAGGGATAGGGAGCAAGGGGGTGGGGGGAGGCAGACCGTCCAGAATGAAGTTGGTTTTAGTGCTCCTCGGTTATGGACGGCTATAATTACCAACTCTGAGAGGAGAGCTCTTTAGCTCCTTTGCAGCATGCGTAAACGAAATATGCCTTATGGGTGTGCGCTATGGCCAGTCAGCTAGTGATCTGTGCGCAGCGGTGGTTCTTTGGTGATCACCCGGATACAGTATGGGCCTGCCTAGTACATCTCATGTAGTAAGCTCCAGTTCTGATACCTTAACTTCTGCTGAGTGTGCTTTACTTAAATTCTGTTCATTGTAATTATAGAAAGAGAAAAATAACAAGAGAGAGATACACACAAAGTTGAGAAAATGTAACCTATACTTACTTTCCACCCCAGAAGATTTTGGTGGTGATGACTAAACTGGATCGTCTGCATGTTGGAACAAAAACAAAAAGGGTTTTCTCTTGATTCAAGATGTGGAAAAGATACGTTACAATATATTACTCAGGCTGTCTTGATCTCTCCTACAAACCTAGAATAGGATTCAATAATTCCTCTTTTCCTTTTCTGTTGGGTTTCCTGTATTGAAAAACACACTGATCAAATGAAGGGTTCAAAGAATGATTGTTAAACAGCTTTGCTCAGCAGGCGCACCCTGCTGGTTGTGCTGTCTGTGGGTCTCAGGTGCCTGTAGGTGTGGCTGGTTCATCATGATCTGATCCTGTATTTGACCATGCCTATAAACCCCTCTATTTCAGCCCTGCTCAGAACAGGCTGTTTTTGTGTCTGTACCTTTAAATATGTAAATGAGCGGTGTCTGACCACGCCCCCTCTCTGGAAGGGCTTGGGTGTACTCGGTGCTTTCTCGTTCCATGTCCTATTGTTTATGGTGAGAAGGCAGACTCAGAGGGCAGAACAAACACCTAGCTGTGGGAGTGTCACCCACCTGGGGGAAGGGTTACTGCCCTTTGTGATGTCATGAAGGGAAAATCTCCAAACGGCCTGTTTGAGCACACATTTTCTGAAAAGTGGAGCAGGCAAAAGACGGAGAGGGTGGACTTTTCTCATCATTGGGGGGTTTGTAGACAGACTAGAGACACATGTTAGTGTTAGAGAAACATGGTAAAGTGTACCTTTAAGGCAGTACCCTAACATGTCTGTTTTAATTTCCCACATCACCTGTATACTATTTCTACAGAATGCCTCTATGTTTAGAGTGAGCTCTGTTTCTGTCGCTTTCTTTCTAAAATAATTGCTTCCTTTCTGCAGGAACAACGGGCACAGCATGAAAAATTCATCAGCTACTGAACCGTAGTTTTTCACTGCTGTTGAATAAAATATATAGAAACATTTGAAATGATGGAAAACATGATGTGAGCAGCCTTTATTTGCATGATCACAGCAATGGCAAATATACAATAGAGGAAGCCAGGAGCTATAAGAGTGAAGAGCAGCTCAGCCACAGCAGATGTTCCATTCTGATGATACTGATTTACCATGAAAACAAAGATCAATCAAAGCATTTAGGAGGAGATAAAGTCATGCATCAAAGTTCTTTACTTGTTAGGTGAAAGTTTGAAGATTACATGTCTGCACAAACCAAACCCAATATGTAAAAAACTTTACCTCCATCCCTTCTTCTTGATGATGTTTCCCAAGACAACTTCCGCCCTGCAGCAGGAGATGAGCGCAGACAGAGAATTCAATCCAACAACAATACATTTAATCATTTATAAAATTGAATATCAATAGTTCAAGATGAGTTAAATGTAATGAGGCGACGCATGCGAGCTTGTTCAGGCAGTCAACTCGAGCTGCTCTGATTTCACTTGACATGCCATACTCTCAACAATCACCTGACAACACCTCCTTCCCATTAGCGGTTTATTTAAGCTGCAGGATTTCTGCTCTCTCCCTCTTCTCTTTCATTTCCAGCTCTGACCTGCACCGGTGCAACCTCGCCCTGCCCCACCTCAACCTCCTGCCCCGAAATCCACCTGTAGGCTCCGACTGGGGGGGTTTAAGATATCATCAGAGGTCGGAGCCTAGACGCCAAACACAATCTATGTTCTGCTATGACAAATATTCTAAATGATTTAAAGGTGAGCTGTCCGACTGACCTGACTGAGTTCAAATAAATGATGTAAAATGTGCTTTTAATAACAAGCACTTATCCAGACACGTCTTAGCTCATTCAAAGAAAAGTTTATCCAGAGGAAGAGGGCGTGGAGTCATGCTTACTTTCCAGCTGTGTAAACTTCCGCTGTGTCGAACAGGTTGATCCCATTCTCGTAGGCTAAAGTCACCAGCTCCTCGGCCGCCTTCAGAAGAAAAGACGTCAAATAACGAAAGATGAGCAAAGTGTGAGGCTCTCTCTCTACCTGACCTCTGACCTCTGAGAGGAGCTTAATGCTAAATAGATGTTTAGGTGTTCTTTCTTTCTTACCTCATCTGTTATCTGGCCTCCGAAGGTAACCCACGTCCCTGAAGAAAAAATGAAGTAACTACTGTGAGAGTGAAGCAGAAGATCTTTCTTTCATCTGCTTTCACAGCAAACGACTATTTTATGAACCAGGAACCTCCTCGCTGCCGCTGCACCACCGTGCAAACCCGAAACATGGTTTATCCTGAGGAAATCCTCCAGGTTTATTTGTGTGTTGCTCACAAACTTCCTTTGTTTCTTTATATTTGGACAATCTGTTATTGTAGTTGGACCTGCGTGTACTTAAATGCCACACTTACCCAATCCAAGACAGGACACCCTCAGACCAGATTTGCCCAAATTTCTGTTGACAAAAAAAAGTATCATAAATATCAGCATATTTTATTTAAAATGCCATGAGATGGCGTTTGTTTTTACATTGAATATGCTGCGTAAATGTTCAGTCACATGTGTGCATATGTATGTGGTCGGCCGGTACCTCACTCCCACCCCCTCTTGTGGGCCAACCCCTCTGTTTAGGTATCAGAGTAAATGTGTTGCTCCAGTGGGCTTATTCTGCTTCATATTATAACATAACACTGTGTGTGTTTGCAAGTCCTCATTGTACCTGTAGATCATGCCAGTGGAGTACGACATGGTGTCCCTGAGTGAAACGTGGTTCATCCTGAGGAAGTCCTCCAGGTTCTTGAGCTGAGCGGCCGCCCTGACCTCTCTGAGGCGCTGGAACTCGGCTAAATGGCTGCTGCGCTGCTGCCGCTCTTCCTGCTCCAGAGCTTGTTCTGACAGGAAACAGCTCAGGCCGCTGTTCACGCTCTCACTCATCGACGACAGGGACATGACCTTTCCTCCAGACCCGCTGCTGATGCTGCTGCTTCGACATATCCCACCGCCGTCTCGAGTCCCGGGTGGAGCCCCTCCACTGCCCCCAGGTTTGGGCATCTGGAAAAAAAAAAAACAGGGTTATGATACCTCCATGACTATTCAGTCCACATTCCTCTGCTGGTTTGTTGGTCCTCATGAATCCTCCCATCACCATGTGCATCATGCTTTTGTAAAATAATGACAGCAGTGTTTCCCAGTCTCTGCTCTGTCTCTGCTGTCTGCATTATTGAAGTACAAACCCTGAATAATAAATGGGTGAGTGAAGTATTGATGTTCTTCATTTTTTTTTTGGGGGGGGGGGGGGCTGTGCAGATGAAGAGATGAACATACACTCATGCACATGATAAAGCTGTCTCAAACGGTGCAGGGTCTGTACTCACATACGAGGGGCCGGGGCAGACATCAGGGGGTTTGTGGCATGCATAAGGATAATTCACGTTGGGTGACAAAGCTGAGGAAAGAACTGAAAGACAAGATGACTTAATGAGAAGTGACAAGTCTCACAATTAACTTGAGAGTCTCTGGTTACTGAGCCAGAAATAAAACACACAGAAAGACAGTTAATACAGGAGCGTAGCTTTATTAGTGATGATATACAAACACGCTAAGCTAACAGAAAACACACTCATTGTTTTCATTTAGAAAAGAAGACATGCTACTCTCCATTTCACTGCTGCAGTGTCTGTTCGTTAAATCTGCCTCCTGTAAATATCCACACTCATCTACATGCATACAGATAGTGTTTGTAGAAATTTGTTTCTTAATCTGCCCTTGATGATGTCACTTTGTGGTTGTTTAAATCTCATTTAGTGGGGAGGGGATCTTCCCCCGCATCTATATTTTATTTCATTCTCCTCTTCACTGAGTTTTAATGTTTAAAAATTCAAAAAGTTGCATCAATATTCAGATTTTCTTTTGTGCGTCGTGGGGAACCAAGATGTGTTTTGGTTTCAAGTTTCAAATAAAAATCCTCTATGTGAAAAAAGTCTGAACTATTTTCTCAATCTAAATATTTTTTTCACTAAATCTTTGCTGCAAAGTTTAAATGCATATTGGATTTATAAAGCACAGAGGAGCATAAATAATCTACAATTCACTTAGCAGACACTTTTGTCCAAAGCGACATAAATCAGAGAGTAAATACAACACAAGAAAGGATCTAGAAATAATGTGACTAACTACACTAACATCCATCATGATGATATCCATGGTATTTAAGTTTCTATGTGTATGTATGTGTGTTTTTAGGATGTATTGCCTGTTTGCCAAATTGCCCCTCAGGGACAATAAACATTTTCCAAATTCAAATCCAAAAGGAAACTTCCACCCCAGATTTGAACATTGCAGGACTGTTACTGAGCTCTGCACCATGTGAACTGGTGCCGTGCAGGATTCAAACCTTAACTGTCTTTCTGTCTTTGGAGCTCAGGAAACTGGACCTATTGGGATCTGATGTTCTCCCAGCATGAATCTATCATACGACAACTCAGACCAAACCACTGACTTCTGATTGCATGATTGCACTGAGCCCCTCCCACTTAAGTATCACACAGCATGACCGTACACCTTCAGGCATAAACTGAGATTACGTCAGCCTATGAAGCCAAATCAACAGCTGGAAAAAAACTGGAGCAAAATTTTCAATCTCACCGAAATCAAGAGCTAACGATGTAGATCTGAGAGACGTTCATTCTCTTACAGAATAGCGACTAACTTGTAAATCATTCTCACTTTTTCTACTACAACTATTCAGTTTATTATTTGTCACAATATAAATGATCATCTAATCCCACTCTTGCAGACAGCCAGGTGTATTTAGATCAAGGATGTGGAGCCTGTGCTGTTTGAGGTTTAAGCGTTTGCACATTTATTTCCTAAATGATAAAGGACAAAGACAGATGTTAGTTTTACTCTTTAGCTGTTCTTCCTTAAGGAAGTCTCTCCTGATTGAACGTGTGCTGCCTTCAAAAAATAACCTAGTCAACGTTTTGAATCACACTTTATGTTAGTTTTTTGTGCAATGAATTTTAAAGGGCCTCATAAGGAGATGTGCTTTCTTGCAAATACCCGCTGCTCTGCAGGCTCTGGCCTGGAGCTCATAAATACAGAAGTTATAAATAAAGTTGCATAATAACATCAAAATACAACCTCGTGTTTGCTCACATGCACTCGCTCTCTCTTCATTTCCCCAACCTGCTAGAGCACATGGACCAGAAAAATCCTTAACTGTTCAATAATTGAAGACCCTCTTTTCCCCCTCCTGATGACAAAGACTGATTATATCATCCTGCTACTTTCCATGAGACTTCACAAAAATAGCCTGTGAGAGCAGGAGAGCAAGAAGACTTTAGAGAACCAGATGTTGCACTCTCCTATGCCACCATGATCTTCTACTTTCCATGGTCCCATACTCCAAACATGTGCAGCATATCCATGCAACTCAGCCGTTTTAAAAAAACATCCATTCAGGCTACTCACCCGAGTGGTTGCCGTCCGGCCGATGACAACGCTGCTCATGGTGGAGCCGGGTGATGGCCAGATGAAGCAGTGTGTGTTTTACCCTGATGCCATGCAGAGCAGCATCTGGATCGCTGTAAAGGTAGAAGGTAGAGGAGGTGATCCGGCACTCCCACTCCCTCCTCCCAATTGGTCACATGGCAGGCGTGGAGTCCAATCAGAAACAGCGTCTGCACTGCAGAGGCCAGAAAATAATCTCAGGAGTAAATAATTTATTTTGGCACTAAAACTAGCATCAGCACTAAAAGCTCGTGATTGTGTGAAACAGCAGAAAGCATGCTAAAAGCATTTTGCTTTGGCTCATGTTGCTTGTCCCAGCAGTTATGTAACTCTTTGCAGACAAACTGAGTGTTGAAGGACCGACTACTACTTCTTCTGCAGAGGCTCAAAGTGCCATAGGGGAACATTTGGGTAGTATTGGGTGGGGGAAACCCCAAAAATGTCAAAGTGAGAATTATTACAGGAAATACTTAAAACTATCTTGTTTTCCTGCAAATGATAAAATACCATTTAATGGTTTATTATCTGGAGCTGTATTTCCACCGGAGGAACTTTAACCTTTAGAGCAGAAAACTGCATTTTAAACCTCAGGGACCATGGTCACAATAAAAGATTAGAGAAACAGAAGTTACATAAAAAGCCGACATTGGCTGAACTGTTCGGTCTTTTCTCTGGATTTTCATGTCCACAGAGTTCACAGCTCTCATTTCTGGAGGAAGACAGTTCCAAAGTTTAGGTGCTGCCATCTCAAAGGCACAGTCCCCTTTTGGTGTGAGGGACCAAGGCTGCCCATAAGGGGGGGTTAGGGGGGGGAGGGGAGAACTTTCTGGAGCCCAGCTGCATGAGGGGCCCATGGCCGTTAGCAAACATAATCCATACTTAATTTTGTTTAACACCGAAACACTCTCCCTTTCTTATTAACTCTGTGATGACTGTGATGTTACCTTCATTGGCGGGTCAAAAGGACTTAAAGGTTAGAGCAGTAATGTCAGACTTTGTATTCACACACCAGGACCTGAACAAAAATAAGGATAGCAGAAAATAAGGGAGGCTCAAGGTTTTGATCCAAAGGCAATAATAACTTGTAAATAAACTTTTTTCAACCAGCTCCAAAAGCTGATCAGATCCAGGGTGTGTGTGTGTGTTTGTGTGTGTGTGTGTGTGTGTGTGTGTGTGTGTGTGTGTGTGTGTGTGTCTGTGTGTGTGTGTGTGTGTGTGTGTGTGTGTGTGTGTGCAGCAGTTTATTGCAGCTCTTGTGATTCATGCATCCACCACTAGAGAGCAGCACAGATTCAACATTTTTCTCTACCTTCTGTTCCTTCACAGCTTGTAACAGTGAGCACAGACAGCGATGTGGAGCGCTCGGTTATGAGGTTATTTATCTGAAGGTGTGTGGACATGTACCTGCAGTACCAGTTCATGGACAGCTGTGGAGTACAGACTATAATATAACTGCATAGATCCAGAGGACACCTGCAGAGACATGAAGACAGCATGAGGACTCCACACAGAGGAGCCAGCAGTGACTCCATTGTTAGCAAATACTGGAGGAGCTTAAAATGTGTTTTTAGTCCAGAGTTCAAGTCCAGAGTGCGGCTGCAATTACTACATGCACCATTTTATGCATAATATTCTCTCTATGTATTGCCACTTATTATCTGCTTATCTTAGCATGAGCACGCTAAATTGAATTATCCTTCTTGGTACAAAGATCTTACACAAGATTCAGAAAGGTGAAAACTAGAAATTAATTTGCTTTTGGTTTATTTTATGAAAGACAAAGAAATGATGGTTGAATGTTGTGTGGCATCAAAACAGTAGAGAGGTTATATCAGCAGTCATTACACATTATATTGATATGTAAACAAGATCATGTTAACCATCAATGCTAATGTGACTATGAGCACAGTGACAGTCTAAAGTGAAGATAATGTTAGCGATGGCATCATTTATGTACTGCATCATGTACTGCATGTTAATGGAGTAGATGTTGAGAAACAACCTTTAGTGGGGGATGATGAGCTGCATGCTGCACTTACAAGCAGATACCTGTTTAAAGACGGGAAGTCAGCGTTAGATAACCACCAATGGATTCTCAGACTGCATTATGATGGTATTGCATTCTGTATCTTCTGCTCTCCACTCAGATTGTCCTTTTTCTACGAGAGGAAGTCAGAACAATATCAAAGTTTGGTCCCAAGCCAACAGATTCTGCAGGACAGTTGTTAGTGTACATGGATACAGACATTGAAAGTGCAAGTTGTCTCTCCTGAGGATCACGTACAAAAAGTCGCTTTTGGATCCGTGTCACAGAAGCCGGTTTCTTTGGAATGCGTACCAACAGCTGAGGTTCTGGTGAAGATGATGACCAGCAGATCAGACGGTACTATCGACAAGCTCCTAAACTTCCAGGAGGAAGGCGGCTTACATCTTAGCAAGACAACTAATAATGATGATCAGAGTTTTGGCAAATCCAGATAATGAAGGTCCATTTTGCAGGGCAGTAGCAGTGTGGCTGATTCTACTGAGTATTGCAAGGA